TATACATACTTACATATGTAAATATGTACATATTTACATGCTCCAACGAAAGCGAATGAGGAGTGTTCTATGTTATTGAAAAAATTGTATTCTCCACTTTTTACTTTCACCTTGCCACTCTCACGGATTATGTACAGTCACATTATGTAACCTACAGACAGAAACCCTGAGAAATGTTTACTGGAAACTTCATAGTATAGTAATGAATTTCACATCATTTTTTAATATGTACGTAAATATGTATCTCTGTCGCTCATACGTCGTTGGTGCTCTAAGAATAAATGCACATATAAATACAAACGTGAGGACAAGTTAATAATTTAATTATGGGTTTGGTTTGCTTATGATATTTTCAGACTTGGAAAAATATGTTATGGAAACATGTAAGGCCCTCATTAAAGTTTTCATTCACAGGACACATCGCTAATTTTTTAACCAATTGTTATACCTAATTTGACGAAAAAATGTCCTTGTTATTAAAACTTTCTACTGGCTATGCAGATCCGAAAAACTCTTAATACAGGATCCCGTGGTCGTACTTATGAAATTTGCTTTTCTACAAATATGCGTGTTAATGTGCACCGTTAATAACGTGTTCACGCATCATTAAAAAAACAAAATTAAAATTCATATCGATTGCATATTTAAATTATTTACACTTGAGGCTATGTATTTGTGACAACTACTAAATATTTCAAGGTTGCATTGCACCAACCTATTTAAATATTTATGTACTAACTTTAAATCTGCAACGAAATCGAGACCTTTTCATGTCGAAATTTTGCAATGTTTCACGTAGGTGGATGTACTTATTTCGAAATTTGTTTTTTTAGGAATGTCTGAATGCAAATTAATACAGTATCGGTTACGAAATACGTCTTGCTTCAATGAACTTTTCAAACTTTTACACATATGTACACATACTTAATCACTTTTCAATGTTACAAAGTAATTTAAGTTTTGTCATTTGAAAATATCTGTGACGAAACCACGAAACCTTGAAACCGTCAATTTGTCCTCAAATATACTTTCTCCAATTTGTCTAACATTACCGAATTTTTAGCCTAGTTCAACGGTCATACATACAAAGAAAATGTACCTCCGCGTACACCAATTGTATCATAAATTACATAAGAATCATGAATAGTGACATAACCCTTAAATTTTCTATTGTCTTTGTTCTACTTTTTCTAAACCTAATTTCATCCACACCCACGGAGACAATTTCATCATCTCGGTCAAATTTTGGCACAATAGAAGCACCAAATCTTACCAGCATTGTGACCCACTGTCCGCAAAATTGCGCGCCACATTTAGTGACCCACCATGAAATACAACCCGAGAATTTGGACTTATCAAATTTTTACAAACCCGTCATATTATCTTCAACTCGGGAAACTTTCCCCGCATTAAATTACGTAGAACAATACAAGAAAATAAAACCGTATCTGGTACAAACGTCAAAAAGATCTGGAACGTTTTGTCGTTTCCTAATATTTCATTTAGGAAATCGACCTGATATAATGAGACGAACCGACCTCCTGCACCTGTACACCTTTCACTACATGAAAAACTGGAATCACCAGGTGACCACGGTCACTTCGATTCAACACGTGTACGTTTTGGTCCTCCTCACTGAGAAAGACTACAAATACTTCTCTAACAAAAAAGAATTATTGTACAGGCCAAACATTAGGATTATCCCGAATTTCGCAGTTCTTATTCTCTCCTCTTTAACACAAAGTGCTAATTGTACCATTTGCGTAAATAAATATGACAATAGTTGGCCATATTTAAGAAACCTGCAGTGTGTCGCCTTCTCAGTTGCAAATAATATCGCAACATTTTATGCACAAATAAAAATTCCATGGGATTGGGAATTTCAACGAGATCATGTTTTGTACAATGCAAGGTCTCAAAAGTCAGACTTCCTTGACGCAGTAACCAAAACGGTCCATTTGGTTTTAAAAGGCAAACTGAACTTGACCTTTTTTGACAACTATGTCGCATTTCGAGCTCGAATAACGGAATCGAGTATGACCGAATACATGGGCCAAAGTGCGTGCACAATTATTTTAGCAAATTCAGTGGAATACAATTTCCTCACTTGTCACACTACGAAAGAGCTAAGTTTCCGATTTTATCAGAAACCGTTCCAGTTGTGGGTGTGGGTCGGTATTTTGCTCAGTTTGGCGAGCTTAATTGTAGTTGGGGAGATTTTTGTAAAGCTTAATTTTAAGGAAAATTTAAGCTTTTCAATTGGCATTTATTTCGTCGGATCGGTTTTTGAAAGTTTGACGTACATCGAGACGAAGGTGAAGAATGCAAACTTTTTCAGAGTGATGGTTGGAGCCTGGCTAATTTCAGTGACAACCTTAACCAATTGTTATAAGGGATTGGTCATCATGGGTTTGAATGCTCCGAGTGATGTGAAACATCCAAATGTTTTTGAGGTATTTGTATCATTAGTGATTAAATTTTTGCTAATTTTTGTTAATTTGTGAAATTTTGTAGGACCTCGTATGTTCCAGTGGTCAAGAAGATTCAGCATTTCTTAAAATGAACGACACCACAACCGTCAGTGCCATGAATAAGGCATATTATACAAGACCAAGCCGTTTCTATAGTAACGATTCTATAGCACCTCCGGACGAAGGGACATGTTTCAATCTGCTCTCAACCTCAAGAGTTGTTTCGTCCTTATCACATCGTACTTACATCGAATATAATCTTCTGGAAATTCTATTGACGCTTTTAAAAATGGCGAGCACAACTCCGAGAAAGTGGAATCTTCTCTGGTTTAATATGATGAAATCGAATCAAGTTTATCACGGTGGGAAAGGAAAAGTAGACAAAACCACGCTTCAAAAAACGGGGGGTAATAATCCCGACGATATTTTGCAGTATTGGGCCGAACAAGAGTTAATTGAATGTGGAAGGTCTGCCTTTATTGGGACTAACGAACAAGTGGCCGCTTGGCAAGCATACCTTGGCGCTTATTATAAGTCCGTAAATTTTTACGTGGGGCAAAATCCCGTCCAGGTGAAAAAGATAGGTTGGTATTTCCATGTATATGCAGGAACAAAGGGTGAAAGGGTTCCTAAACTATTTGCGAGTTGTGTAGAGGCTGGGATTTTGTTGAAGGAGAGGAAAATTGAGAGCGAGTATTCATTAAAAAGAAGAGTACTGATTACCACGAATATTTCTGCGTCGTTTGGTAGTAATTTGACCAGTGTGAGATTAGAGGGGCCAAAATCGCTTCAAATTGGGGGACAAATTCAAACGGTTTTCATTATTTTCGGCGGACTCGTGACCATATCGACTTTCATGTTTGTTTTGGAATTTGGGTGTAAGAGTTACACAATTTGGAAAAAGAGATTGGCACCATGGGTATCAGACGATGTAAAGGAAATATTAATAATAAATACCTACATATGTACATAAGCATGTATTTACATAAGTACTTACTTGATATACACATTATAACCTTGCTTGTGCGAGGCTGAGTGAGTTATCAATACTATACAATATATATTGATATATGTATGTATATATGAAATTCGTGTAACTTCTTAAGCCATCTTTCAAATAATTAAGGAATTTTGTGTGTAAAACATTAATTAAATAAATACTTTACTTGTCAACAGCATTATGTATAATGTACAATGTGCATGTATTTACGTACCTACATATATTCTTAATCAAATATGGAAAAGTACACGTTCAAAATCTACTCATGCAACGGAACTCAATCTACCTCCCCAGTAAAACCGTCAATGTCACAATAAAACCCACATAACACCTTACAAATATATCAGATGGTGGAAATGCATGTATTTATAACTTTTTCATATCAATTCAGATTGCACTAAAACTTCGTAAACTAACATTCCATTTAAGCATGGTCTCCAAAAAATTCAAACACAGGTTTCAACATTTCCATATTTTCGACTTTTTAGGTGAATATTACATGCATATTTTCAGGAATTTAAGTACATACATATCCGCCCTATGATGATAAGAACAGTGTTATACATAAGTAAACTGTATTTTTTTAGCAACTACAAACTCAAATGCTGCATTACAAGCTGTGCCAGATGTCATGCAGCATTTTACTGTAACAAAGATTATCAATCGAATGACTGGCATAAGATGAAGAACAAAATTATCTGCATTATGAAGTTAACTAGGGAACGTTCATATATTACGTCATCATTTTAGTGGGTGGGTGGTTTAGGTCTTCCTACATTTCTAATGTTAAAATTCCACATCCCTTCATGTTTACGTTGGATGGGTGGGTCCTAAATTAGAGAATTTTAGATGATGTAATATATGGGTGGCCCTAAATGTAAGTCCAATAATACACATTTAATTGATAACGAGAGTCAGAATCTTCCAGCACCTCATCACTGGACATTAATAAATAATTATGTGGGGATTTGTGTGAATGAACTCGTTGGATGGAAATGTTGCCGTAGGTGACCGTGGAAGCAGGGGATGAATGAGTGGTGGATGAGTGTTGGAGATGAGAATCAGTCGTGATGATGAGCACAAGTTATCACAATCAAAATAGTCACATTTACTTCAGTTAAAAATATATTGATGTACAAATTGGGGCGAAATTGAGACTTGTGGACTTGAGTGACAAAGTGACGTGGTCAAGGTACGTACAAAAGGAGAATGACAGCGAGGAGGGAGAAATGACCTCCTTTTATAGGAGACTGCTCAAGGTAATGGAATATTACAAAAAGGACAAAAGTAAAAATAAACTTGAGCAGAGTGAATGATTTGGACTGGAAAAGAGAATTGAACTGCTGATAGATAGGCAAATTAAACTGAGCGCATTGGCTGGCAAAGTTGAGAAAATGGTCAACTACAGTCAAAATCTGAATTACATACACAATGAATGATAAATAAGAATATGGTCATAATCATAAAATTACATAAAGCAAATGAACTCAAACATTCCGGGCGCCTTGAAAAACTGTTTTCAACAAAAATTAAGTAGGAGTTGACGGGATGGTAGGCGTTGGAGTGGAGTTGTCGATGGGGAGCAGACACAGCTTCACAATTGGGCGTTTGAATATGCCTGTTGATGTGCGGACTGTTACTACACGGACGATGGCGTCGGGACCAGGATGAAGAGATTCGATCCGTCCAAGTTTCCATTTCAGCGGTGGTTGTGTTTCATCTTTGATAACCACCATGGCACCGATTGAAATGTTGGGGGATTTGGACATCCATTTTGGACGTTGCTGAAGACGAGTGAGGTACTCATTGGACCACCTCTTCCAAAATGATTGGACCATTTGCTGGAGAAGTTGCCAGCGTGATAAGCGGGAGATCTTGATATCTTCAAGTGTGGGTTCGGGGATAGAGTTAAGTGGGGCTCCAATCAAGAAGTGTCCTGGGGTCAAAGCGTTGTAATCATCGGGATTATTGGTTTCTGGGGTCAATGGGCGCGAGTTCAAGATTGATTCGATTTGGGATGTGATCGTGGTCATTTCTTCGAACGTAAGTCGTTGAGTTCCCATGACGCGACGGAGATGGAACTTTACGGATTTGACTCCGGCTTCCCAGAGTCCGCCAAAGTGGGGGGAAGCTGGGGGATTGAAATGCCAATCAATCCCATCCTTGGATAAATGGTCGGATATGGCTTGGTTGTGGGGGCGAGACATGACCAGTTTGAGAAAATCCTTCATCTCGTGATTTGCACCGACAAAGTTTGTGCCGCAGTCACTGTAAAGGTCCGTGGGTCGGCCTCTGCGGGAGATGAATCTTCGAAGTGCAGCAAGGAAAGCGTCGGTGGAGAGGCTGCTGACCACTTCAAGATGTAGGGCTCGAGTGGTACAACAAACGAAGACAGCCAAATATGCCTTGATTGTTGTCTTGCTGCGGGACTGAATGGGTCGAAGGAGGAATGGGCCGGCGTAGTCGATACCGGTTTTGAGAAATGCTCTGGCAGGGATAACACGGAATGAGGGCAAATTTCCCATCAATTGTTGCATGGTTTTTGCTCTGAGTTTGGTGCAGGTCACACATTTTCCAATTTGACGTCGGACGGCATCCTTCAGTCGCAGGATCCAGTATTGTCGCTGCAGAGTGGACATTAAAAGCTGGGGACCCGCATGGAAATTGATAATGTGTTCATGGTTGATGAGAAGATGAGTAATTGGATTGTGGGATGTGAGGAGAATTGGATGTTTCTGGCTTGCCGGAAGATCCGAATGATTGAGTCGGCCTCCAACTTTCAGCACACCGTCAGAATCTAGGAAAGGACAGAACGAAACAATTTTGCTTTTAGAGTTTACAGGTTGCCCGGCTTGGAGGGCATGAATCTCCCTGGGAAATTCTTGTTGTTGAACGAGCCTTATCCAATATAGCTTGGCGCAATTGATCTCATCTGGGCTGAGAGGAGAGTAAGTAACTTCAGTGGGTGCGATGAGAGGACTAAGGTTCGTGGTGTCACTAATGGCACGGAGTCCGCCGGTGAATAATGGAGACGGGGTGTATTTGTGACCTTTGAGATTCTTGATGAATCGAAATACATAGGCAGTTACTCGAAGTAGCTTTGGAAATGATGAATACCGGTCAAGTAGCAATTGATCAGTTTTGACAATGGTGTGGAGTGAAGTTGCTTGCTTCTCCTCTGCAATTGCTTCTGATGAGTCTTGTGAATGATGAGTTGTGGGGGTTGGAATTTGATTCCTCAGCCAGGGTGGCCCATGCCACCAAAGCTCGTGATTGATAAGCTCATCGCATGTGATTCCTCTGGATGGGCAATCAGCAGGATTTTCTTCTCCTCTAACGTGACTCCACATGGTGGGAGGGACCCTCTCCTGGATCTTGGTGACCCGATTGGCGACAAAGGTCTTCCATCTTGATGGTGGGGAATTGATCCATGCTAGTGCCACTGTCGAATCAGTCCAGGCAGAGATGGAATGGATGGGAATTCTGAGGGCAGATTTGACTGACATCAGGAGTTCAGCCAAAAGTTCAGCTCCACAGAGCTCCAAACGCGGAAGTGACACCGTCTTGACAGGAGCCACACGCGATTTTGAAGTGATGAGGGACGATGAACTGGATGGACCGTCGTATACACAGAGGTAGACAGCAGCGGCGTAGGCTTTTTGTGACGCATCACAAAAACCAGCAAGGCAGAATTTTGTTGTAGAATGAAAAGCGCGATTAAGACTGGGACAGATTAGGTCAGTTCCTTGCATAAAAAATCGATTGATTGTGAGTTTAGACAAACCTTCCATATCTGAACGAAGAGTTGTCCATTGATGTTGAATTTCTAGTGGAAGTGGTTCATCCCAACCATGCTTTAACTTCCACAAGGACTGCATAAGGATTTTTGCGTTGATGATGATGGGGGCCAACCAGCCTACGGGGTCGAAGAGACGAGCGATTTGGGACAAGATGCTTCTCTTGGTCATTGGTGTAGTGGTGGGCTCTTGAGGGCTAATGCGGAAAAGAAACTGATCTGTCTTCGGGTTCCAACAAATTCCTAAAGTTTTGATGCTGGAATCTTGGTCGAATGAGAGGAGGGAACTTGTTTCTCTCATCTCTGGGGGAAGTGCATCCAAAACATCTTGGGAATTGGATTACCACTTGCACAACTCAAAACCTGCATCCTTTGTGAGGCTGAGTAGTTCTTGTTGAGTTTGGAATGCTTCTGGGACGGTGGGTTCGCCAGAAATCAAATCGTCTACATAAAAATCCCTGCCTGCGACTTCCGCGGCTCGAGGGAGTTGTTGCTGACTGACGACTGCTGTTTCCTCCAGCACACGGGTAGCCAAATACGGGGCTGAAGCTGTGCCGTAGGTTACCGTTTGAAGGTTGTAATGCTTCAACGGTTTGGATGGGTCGTCTCGCCATAAGATCCTTTGCAAATTCGAGTCCTCAGGGGTCACTCTTATTTGTCGGTACATCTTCTTAATGTCAGCCGTGAATGCAATCTTATGGAGTCTGAAACGAGAGAGAATATCGACAAGTGAATCCTGAATATTTGGACCAACCATTAATCCTTCATTCAGAGAGACACCGGATGAGGTTTTCGCGGAGGCGTCAAAAACCACACGAAACTTGGTTGTGGAGCTGGACTCGTTCAAAACAAAGTGGTGTGGCACATAGCAGACCAGGCTGGGGTCGGAATCCATGGGGTGGACTTCCTGCATATGGCCGAGTGATTCATACTCCTTCATGAAATCCACATACTGCTTGCGTGCATCTGGATTTGAATGAAGTCTCCGTTCAAGCAAAAGAAGTCTCTTCATTGCAATGTTGAGTGATGAGCCGAGCTTGGGTCGTGGTGACTTGAAAGGGAGCTGAACCGTAAATCTACCTGCATGGTCGCGGGTATATGTAGATTTGAAGTGGGATTCAATTGTAGTTTCTTCTTGGGTTGGGAGTCGATGAGATGGCTCACTGTCCATTTCCCAAAACTTGCGTAGTGTGGCGTCTAGGTTCTCGTCAGTGGGATCACAGCCAATTGTTGTTGTTGTCGAGGATAAAGATTGAGCGAGTGTGGCATTAACTCTGGGCTGGATGAGTGGGATGTCGGATGAACCACCACCAATCAACCAACCGAAGCTGGTTTTGATAGCGACAGGGCTGTTGGGTGGTCCACTTATTTTTCCGCACTCCAAAATAGCGAAGAAGAATTCAGCGCCTAAGAGCATGTCCACATCTAAAGGTTTGTAGTAGAGGGGGTCGGCTAGTTGCAACCCTTGCAGATGAGACCACTTGGTGTGATCGAAATACGAAGTTGGCAATTTTTCTGTGATTTTGCTCGTGACGAGACACCTGGAGATGAAATGAGTTACGGTTGAATCAAGATGTGAACTCACAGTGAACTGCGTGATTCCTGTGGCGTTCGCGACGTATGCTCCTCCCAACCCAGTGGCGGAGGTGTGGCAACGTCTCAATGGAGCTCCGATCCGTTTGATGCAGGAGTCCGTGATGTAATTTGTGTTACTTCCGTTGTCGGCAAGTACTCGAAATGTGTGGTACTGACCATGGCGATCAGCTACTTGAACCAATGCGGTAGCCAGCAGAGTATCAAACTCGTTTGCAACTGGCTGGGGAATCGATGTGAAGTTGACACGGGCTGGGGCTGGGACCGATGCTGCCGTGGGGTTATGCTGCTGTGGTTGGGGGTTGACGGGTCGATTTGCTACTGGTTTATGGAGGAGGGTGTGATGCTTTGAGCTGCATGTCTTGCATCCAAACTTGTTGTTGCACTCGGTGACGCGATGATTGTCTTTGAGGCAATTGTAGCAAAGACCGTTCCTCCGGACGAAGTCGATTCGCTGTTGGGGTGACCAGGACAGGAAGACTTCACACTTGTAAAGATAATGCGATTCATTATTACAAGCCTTGCATGGGGAAGAAGAATGAGATGGAGAATTGGTATGATGAACAAGGGGTCGATGATTGCTTTGATTGTTACCATTTCCAGACTTTTTGTTGTAGGTCTTACTGGGTGTGGCTTCCGTACCACTTGCGGCGAGGGCTCGGGCGCGCTGCTCGAGGAAGTCGAAGAGAGATTTGAGTTTAGGGATGGAGCTGTCCTTCAACGACTGCTCCCACAACTCCTTGGATGTCGAATCCATTTTTGATAAAATGATGAATAAGAGTAGGGCGTCCCATTGATCTGTGGGGAGTTTTAGGACGTCCAGGGATCTGATGCATTCCTGTGATACATCAACAAGTTGGCGAATGGATGATGATGATTGTTGTTGAACTACTGGCTGGTTCATGAATCTGCGGAGAATTGCGAATAAAATCTCCCGGTCATTCTGGTACCTGTCATGAAGAGAATTCCACGCAATATCATAATTGCCATCAGTTATTATCATGCTTGAAATTTGTCGTGATGCTTCACCCCTGACTTGCGACTTTAAGTAAGTTAACTTTTGAGACTTACTGAGCGATTTATTGTCATGAACAGCAGTGACAAATAAATCGCGGAATGATACCCAATCGTTCAGTGTCCCGTCAAATGTTGGGAGCTCAAGGCGTGGGAGCCGGATGTCCACGGATGAGGGCTGAACGGGTGTCCCTGGAATCGGAATTGGGATTGAGGTTGAGCTATTTGGAAAACTCATCCGTATTCCAGTGAATGCTGAGAGAAGTCGATCTGTTTTACGTAAGAGTCTCATATACTCTACTTGATGGGGTTTCATGTCAGGGGGCGAAATTGATATGATTTTCTTGTGTGTTTCCATAATGTCGATTTGAGCAGTTTTTAGGATGTTGATTTGATTAATCACCGATCTTTCACCGAGGGGCGTGGTTGCATGATCAGTCAGCTCAAGTTCCACATAGTCTAAGGTATCACTGACGCTTTCGCGGTCGCTTTCGGCCTTATCGAGCGCTGAGGGTGCCATGTCTCTGTTACTGCTGGCGTTCAATCCGCGCCTGCTGCTGATGAGCTCTGGCCGATTCCGAACGTCCGTCCAGCAGTCCACACGAGAATGGGCTTTACAAATTCAAAGCACTGATAAGGTTAGAGTTCACTATAAGCACACTTACGATGAGGATCTTGAATCCGGTTCGCGAGACCAAAAAATGTGGGGATTTGTGTGAATGAACTCGTTGGATGGAAATGTTGTCGTAGGTGACCGTGGAAGCAGGGGATGAATGAGTGGTGGATGAGTGTTGGAGATGAGAATCAGTCGTGATGATGAGCACAAGTTATCACAATCAAAATAGTCACATTTACTTCAGTTAAAAATATATTGATGTACAAATTGGGGCGAAATTGAGACTTGTGGACTTGAGTGACAAAGTGACGTGGTCAAGGTACGTACAAAAGGAGAATGACAGCGAGGAGGGAGAAATGACCTCCTTTTATAGGAGACTGCTCAAGGTAATGGAATATTACAAAAAGGACAAAAGTAAAAATAAACTTGAGCAGAGTGAATGATTTGGACTGGAAAAGAGAATTGAACTGCTGATAGATAGGCAAATTAAACTGAGCGCATTGGCTGGCAAAGTTGAGAAAATGGTCAACTACAGTCAAAATCTGAATTACATACACAATGAATGATAAATAAGAATATGGTCATAATCATAAAATTACATAAAGCAAATGAACTCAAACAAATTACCTTCACAAATTTTAAGAAAATGTTCAAGTTAACCATCTCCTCCGTCGTGACCTTAGTCGTCCTTTTTAACCCTTGTGTCAAGGCAAATATAATAAAAAACTCTAATGCGAAATTGCAAAAGAGCCGAAATGGCGAGTGGTTGGATACAGCTGAGAAAATTTGGCTGAATTGGACGGTTAATGAGGTCACAAAAACGATAACTTTTGAACTCGAGGCTGAAACCTTGGGTTGGGTGGGGTTCGGAATTTCTCCACAGGGCGGGATGACCGGGGCTGATATCTTCATTGCCGGTGTCTTGCCCAACGGGGACCATTATTCATCGGTAATTAAACTTTGTGTAAAATAAATATATATCTTCTATTTAATGGGAATTTAATAATTAAACATACCGTTTTTTCAACAGGATCGTCACGCTACGGGAACTGTCGAACCGATCGTAGACGCGCATTCAGATTGGGAGCTTCACGACGCAAGAGAATCCGGGAATCGGACATATCTTAAATTTTCCCGATTAATTGACACCTGTGATGATCAGGACTACCCGATCGGGGTGCGTTGAGCGAGATGGAATTATAATTAGTTCATTTTAATCATGATTAACTAATTATTTATTTATATTTTAGATGGATATGACCCGGTTGATTTGGGCGTTTGGTATCACGGACGAAATTGCATATCACACAAGTACGAGACGTGGAACCAAATCGGTAAACTTACGCGGTGCTCTGATTCCAGAAGTGGATTTTACCAAGTAAATAATTCATCCTTAAATAATTTAAGAAAATTTAGTTAAACTAAACATTACGACAGGCTAAAAGAACATAAAATGGTGCTTGACATGGTTATGCCTCCAAGCGACACGTCGTACTGGTGCAGTTTTCACAAAGGTCCAGCACTAGATAAGAAGCACCACATTGTAGCCGTGAGTTTAAATTACAATTAATAACAATATGTAAGACTACGATTAAATTATCGTGTTCATCCATCAATATATAGTTTGACTCACATCTCCCAAATCTGCCCACACACATCACTTTATCCTGTACAACTGCTATGCCACTGATATCATACCGATTGCAGAAATTATGGGAAATTATACCGTGGACAAGTATTTGGGAGATAACTGTTATCTTGCTTACGATTGGGAAAATCTTAAGCCAGTTATGTGGTTGAAAAAGTATTGCAAGGAATACTTGTACGTGTGGGCGACAGGAGGCAAGGTGAGATGGGGGTTAAAAATATGTATGAATATTTGTATAATTATTTTTTTCTTGTTAATGCTAGAACATTTCTGTGCATCGCTAATTTTTAATAATTTTCAACATTAATTGATCCACTTTTCTATAAAACTAGCGCATGGTCTTTCCCGAAAATGTCGGCTACCCTATCGGCTATGGCGACCAGGAGGGAAAAGAGGCATTCTACATGTTGGAAATCCACTATGATAATCCCGACGAGAGAACCGGTGTCCAGTTTGAAACCGGTGTTTCATTCTTCTACACGAACGAAACTCGACCAATTGACGCTGGACTGCTGACGGTTGGTCACGATGTCACACTGTCAATCACAATCCCGCCAAACGCAGAGAATTTCGTCACCGTGGGTCACTGTGGGGCAGAATGCACGTCGAAACAATTTCCCGAGGGAGGAATCAAGATTTTTAACGCCCTCCTGCATTCACACCTTTCCGGGAGAAAGTTGAAACTGAGGCAATTCAGGGACCAGCAGGAACTCGAGTGGCCCGATTTTGATGACCATTATGACTTCAACTACCAACAAAATAAGCATTTAAACCAGGAAGTTATCGTGTTACCAGGGGATCATTTAACTTATGGTAAATTTTACTATGTAGTTTAAAATTTAAATAGAAAAAAAGTAGTCATGAAAATATTTCTAATTTTCTGTATCCCGAATTTTGAATTTTACCAAATTAAGAATGCACCTATGGCAGCGTTTGGAAAAAGGGGAAAGTTGTCACAGGAGGTATGTCGACGGAGGACGAAATGTGCCAAGCATTCCTTTGGTATTACCCCAAAATTGAGACGATTGAGGTTTGCGGGTCTTTATATGGTGTTGAGCTTTCAGTAGCCGATTTGGGGATCACCAATTGGACGGGGTTAGTCTCAAATGGGATAAAAAACGTAATAATTGACTGATTAACTAAATATTTTAATATATATAGAGTTGATACTTCGGAAAGTATATTAACAAAATTCCACGTTTATGAGCCCACCGAATTGGCTGGTGACTTGGAGGAGTCGTTAAACACCAAGTTCAATTGGACACAGGAAATCAGAGAGGAGATGGAGAGGAAGAGAAGGTACGAGGACCACGTGGGAATCTGTGCGTCCAGAAAGATTCGCCGAAATTCTTATTTTAAAGTTAAATATCCAACGATAGTGACGCCTTATGAGCCCGCTGATACATGCAGGATTGCAGGTGGTGACGGTTTACAATTAGGCGTAGTCGATACTTTTATGACAGTCTTTGTAAGAACATTGGACATATTTTTGTAGTAATGTAGAGTGACAATTGAGACTATGTATATGTAATATGGAGTCAAAAAGCATTGCGATCAACTATTTAGTATTTATTATTATTATTGTTATTTATTAATCAAGCTTGCTTATTTACAAAGCTCGTTATGCCTGACATATTTGTATTTTACAGCACATAAGTTTGGGGCAAATAGATCAAATAATTAAATAAATTAGATTATATGAATACATGGAAATAGATACTTATTACAAATATTATTACTCCTCAGCTTACCAATTACAAAGCACCAACTACACATTAAAAACATATTTCAAATAAAACATGCGAAAGTACACGTTCAAAATATGTATAAGCATGCAACTTAATCCACCTCCACAGTAAAAAACTATCCATACCACAACGAAACCCACATAATACCCTTTTTACCCCTTGACCTTAATTAAGTCTCTCATAAAGTTTCTCAAATTTCCAAAGAAACCGTAATTGGATAACCATTATATCTCAGGATCTAACAAATTAGCAAAGTTTTTCTTAATTGGGAAACTTTGCCCACTATGCACACGTGTGACAAGCCCCATAAGTAGTTTCCTCTTCAGATGCGATTTCGATTATGTGCCATTTCATGCCCTTGCCTTCTCCAGACGTGAAGTGGAATCCGACGCGATGCGACAAGTGTCTGTTACCAACAGGCTCACTCCATCCACTTCCACATCGCCACAAGGCGATCCAATTCCTGTTAACATCTCCTCCAAATATCGTGGATATGTGTGAACCCATTTAACCAGGCGAGCTTGCCTGCCTGCCGTCTGCTTTCTCTTTCTCCTCTTCCCTACAAAGCCGTTATATAACTACGAGATAAGATGTTTTCGATCTGTTGCTCTCTTTGACGTGGAAATTCCATCCCATTCCATCCCGTCCCACGCTGCGGGGAGAAACAGAAGAAGCAGAGAGAAAGTTGCCCAGAGAAAACAGGTTGGGATAAACTTTCCCCATTTAAAGAACTTTGTCTACTACATTCATTACATAAGGATAAGTACGACTGGGAGGATTAGTGAGACTCTATGGGCTGCATAAACTGCAACATTTTTTCGCCTAGGATTTTATATTCGTACATATTTAAAATATTGATTAGAAGTGAGAGTCTGACTTTCTCCACGTGGCGTGCTTCGCCCCTGCCGAGATTGGAAGTTGCCTGCCTCCACCCGTCACATCCAGCCCGATATAAATATGTACAAGGGCAAGCAGTGGTTTGCTAGAGTTTTGGTATACTCATGTTAAGCCCCGCTTTTCGAGTTGCATCAACCAGTGCGAACTTTCACCCACCTTTCCCTCTCGCTACAGGCACCATATCCGACCAAGTTTCTTCCTCCTTTCACCCAGCGTTACGCACAACGGGGCAGAATTGGCACAGACTGCGTAAAAATTTTGGGAATAAAATCCTACCCGTTTTTATTCTTTGTATCGAATCTTGAATTTCCATGAATGTCCCCCTCCCCACAATCTCACCCTGTCAGGCTAGGAGCATCGAGCTGGTTTGGTTAAGTGTTCACTCACACAAATCCAACAGCATCTCTGCTTACTTTCTCCATTCCATTCCTCTCTCGGTGCGAGCACGGCAGTCGGATCCGCCACCAGTTCACATCTCTCGAAAACGGGTGAAAGCAGCCTTTTCATCCTCTTCTCTTTCTTTCTCTCCTTCCCAACAACTTTCCCAGCAGTAAGAACTCAGCAGCAGGACGTCAAGCACGACGAGAGAGGTTCGCATCTGACACTGTTTTTTGCGTATATCCAATTTTCCTCCTCCCGTGTGTACGTGCCAAAACCATGGAAATCGTCGTGTCGTGTGGTTGAATAAATAAGTTAAGAAATTGAAAAGTAGATAAAACCCAGCAAAGAAAATGATTGGTTTCCGAAGCTTACTTTCTGGTGGGTGGTACTCCGCCTGGTTGTGGCCTTCCTTCATCCTCTGCGTCCTACTCTCTGTCCAGCCGAGCTTTATGTAAGTGGTGGAGGAAATTACCTACATATTTGGTGTTGAATAAATCTTGTAAACAATTTACTTTATGGAGTGGGGGCTCAATTAGGCGTGAAAACATGACCACTTGGCAAGGAGCGGGGGATTTGTTGAGGTAGCCGTGTATGTAGGGCTGCATGGTTATGATATGGGAGATAATGTAATCTACGTACGTAGGGAAAGCAGAGGAGCTGAGGCAAGTTGCCAATTTACTTGTGGATTCTCATTTTTTATGATAGAAACGCGTAGGGCAGAGCGTAAAAGGAAATGAGGGAGAGAATGGGATCGTTATATTCGTGAATGGGAAGAGGAAACCTTTTGTCGTTTGGTTTGGTTTGGTGGATTGGATGGGATGATAAATACTTCATTTTTTGCATTGTTACGTTTTATGTGCCATGTCAGACGTGTAATTGTGTGTAGGGATGAATTTTTAATAGAATGTTTCCCGTAATTTGAAAAGTTTCGTGAAATGATGCAGAAATGTTTATTTATTTCCGTTATTTAAACTGATTCTTTTTTTCAATTAAATTTGGAAAGTTAGATAGCTGCAGACTTTATTTAGCAAGGAGACTACACCTTGACTGGAAAAACTTGTTGTGCTGTTGGTCGTAGATATTTTCTCGTTGGAGAGGAAAAAAGTGAAAGTTTTTCCCTACTTTTTTTCTTCTGAGAAGGACATGTTAATTTAATCGAGAAAGTTTTCCTTTCACTCCTTTTCACCACTCGTACTTAGTCTCCGTGGAGCTCGGTGCAGTCGGGTAGATAATCATTCATCCATATCTGTCGTGAAGGGAGAGGAAAGTCCGTGTCTCATTGTGTGGGACGTCTTGTTAGGAAGAAATGTCTCTCTCTTCGACCTGGGAGAAAGGTGATCTTTCACTTTCTCTTTTTTTTACTCTTTGCCCGCAGATCTGGCGTGTACTCCACGAAGCTCGTTAACGTTCGTGAAATTGAGAAACGCATCCTCGACAAAGTGCTGGACACTGATCGCTATGACAACAAGATCCGACCGGACGGGACTGCAGGAACGGGTGAGGAGATGATTTATAAAAAATTAAGTGAAAAATTGGAGCAAACTCATCATGATGATGGTGACTTTGCAAAATCCGAGGTGCAAAAAAGTTTTCCGCCAACATAAATATTTTGTATTTGCTACTTTTCCTTTCTTTCCCAGAATTCGCCAATATTTGGCACTTTCACTCACTTTTATATCCCATTTCAGACGCCACGGTGGTCTATGTCAACATGTTTGTTCGCAGCATAGCGAGAATCGATGATGTAAAGATGGTGAGTAAAGTAGAGAAATGTTTTATTTGCTTTTTCATGTTGAAAAGTTTCTTTCACTGCATCGAGCCACACACTTACTTATTACGTAACTATGTAGCTCGCCATGAGGTGAAGAGTGCACGGGAGGAGAAAATATAAATCGAAATTTGTCTCTCGTTTTTTCCTCTTTTTGCAAAAATATCGATCCGTCTCGTCCTCAAGGGGAGAGGGACCCTCATCGATCTATTTATTTATCATTACCTTCAATCAAACTTCCCTCGAGGAAGTAGAAGAAGAAAAAAGAAAGAAGTAATAATATTTCCCTCAAAGGAGGTTTATAGTTACGGTGGTCGTCATGGCAACGGGCTTCCACGACTGAGAGGAATGTTCCCATCCCATTAATGTAATATGTACTTGAGAGAAATCGTGACATGGCGTTAAGACATGCGACGACGATTTTCTCCTTTTCTTTGCAATGCATTGTGTGAAGTGGGCCTTTGTTATTTTGTCGGATACAGTATATAGTTGTCACTCAATGGAGAATAAACATTTGGTAGGATGGCATGATGACATATTTCGTAATGAGATATTTCTCAACAACGGGAAAGAAAACAGCAAGGGTTTCGTTTTTTTTTCGGGGGAGAGAAAGTTGAAGTTGACGACTTGTTAGTTGGAAAGAGAAAGTCAAGATGTATGTATGTGGGTCTTCCTTCCCCGAATTTTGTAACAAATGACATCCTGACGACAATAATAGGAGAATAGAATTACATACAAAGGGCTTCTCTTCTCGTCCTCCTTCTTCTTGATTTGATTGCACAGAGAAGTGAGTGAGTGAGTAAAAAGATAGGGAAAGTTGTTACTCAGTCAGCAAAAACTAAATATTTAAATCTCTTTGATGCAATCAAGGAAATCATGAATTTCAAATTTTGCCAAGTCTGTCATAATTTGGTGTAATAAATTGGTCTGATTGATGATAAAAAATTGGAAGAATCCATAAAAGTCAATCCGTGCTCGTCCTCCTGTCCAGAATATGATAACATTATTATCATCCACGTACATCCTGCCTTTTATATCTCATTTATTTCCTGTCATGTCGGAAAAAGTGGGCTACGTGGTTCGCTAGCTGCGATGCGAGTGAGATACGTACGTATCCAGACATCCAGATCCGACTGGTTTGCACGGCAGGAAGAAGAGGAAAGAAAGGGAAGAGAGGAGGATGTTTGCATGTAAGTGAGTAGACTGCCTGCTCCGTAATAACGGTAATAATAATGAACTTTCTCCCCTCTCTGCCGCCTAGAGGGGCCTTCTTCTTCTGCCCAGTTTTCCCACTAATACTCCAGGGCAGGTTTTCAGTCCTGGGTTTATTACGTCGGACAGGACGTGATGTTAGTTTAGTCACCGAAACGAAAACTTTAGCAGGCTATATACTTCCATTGGTAGATAAGTAGACGTGAATTTCACCTTACTTTCACTCTCTCTCTCTCTCTCACCAGCACTCCGTCATCTCCATTTTCGCTCGCTCTCTTCCATCCCATCACACTATCGATCTCGCTGCTTCTCTGGTGGGGAGGAATCTTGATGGCTTGTTGTAAAGTAAAAGTAAGCAAACAAATGACAAATCAAGGGAGGGAGAGATAGATGAGGGTTGGTGGGTGGGTGGATGGGTGAAAGTAAGTGCTTGTGAGAAACCACATTTGGAACGCAACGGGCAGGAAAATGGGAACGCGAGACAAATTTTAGTAGATGAGTGTGACGATAACGGGAGATGATTAGACAAACGGGAGGAGAGAAAGTTTGGCGGATGTGGTTGGGAGATTGCTGCTTTCTCCAGGGCAAACTATGCATGTCAGATAGGATCCTGAATTTTTTAACGGGTCGGATTATGGGGAATTTAGTTGGACAAAAGTGCGGAACTTTGTGTTAAACAGGGTCTTTTTTGTGGAGCAATTTTATCGTGTGATAATCTTGGGTAATGTGTGTTTTACAAAGTGTTGTGGGCATGTGTGTCTGGAATCTGGGACTGGTTTTGCTGTACAGAAAAAGTATGTATGTGCATGGTTGAAACTAAAATTAAAAGAGGACACGATCCTTTACAGACTTTAGTAGATACTAATTCCAGCTATATTTTTTCTGGCGGAGGCAACATGACAAATCCTTGAATGAATAGTTTATCGGCATCGTATCCACTTTAACGTTATATGTCTTGTTAAACTTGATAATCTCGCATCTCTTAGTCTGTTTACAACGTCTCTAGTCTCCTTATTTCCGCAGTAAATCATCCCAGGACAAAAACTCAAGCAAAGTTTAACCAAATAAAGTAAACTTGAGCCCTTATTCCACTTTCTCTTTGGTGCAATCAGGGCTGATATACGGCCCACATACACTTGAAAGTTTGTGCCTCTGCTATTCTGTAAGTAACCCGTTGCCATCCGGATGGAGGAGGGTGGGACGGCATAGTGTGGGAATTAGTCCAGATGGATGGAGCCTTTAGTTATGCTTGGTGAAAGCCGAGTGGCAAGTTTGTTCCGGTTAAATTCATGCAATAATTTGCGGGGAGAAAGTTCACCCGGGTAGAAAATGATGATGGATCCGGTGCTGTTTTTTCTTTTCGCTTGGCAAAACCAAATTTATTACTTGTTTGGTTTTGAGATGAAGGGGAAAAGTGAAAGTAAACCATCTCTCATATTTTCTCTTGACAGGAGTACAGCGTGCAACTCACATTTCGCGAGCAGTGGACGGATGAAAGGTTGAGATTTGACACGTTTCGACCAAAACCACCAGGTTAGCGAGATGGATGGTGGCGTTAATTAAAAAGTTTTTTTCTTAGGGACTAAATTTCCAGGGGGGAAAGTTTGGCTGGTATTTATTCACTGCAAACTTGTATATTTCAGATGACCTCGCGTACCTAACTTTGACCAACTCATCGCAAGTTTGGATGCCCGATTTATTCTTTTCTAACGAGCGGAAAGGCCACTTGCACAATATTATTACGCCGAATGTGTATATTCGGATTTATCCGAATGGCGAGATCCTGTACTCGTTGAGGTAAATAGATTTATGTACATGGCACGTTGAGTTATTTATTCAACGACACGACGGGATTTTGGTGATTGGATTACAAATTTGTTGTTGCAGAATCTCGCTCACACTTTCGTGTCCCATGATTCTCAAAATGTTTCCGTTGGACAAACAGGTCTGCACTTTGCGAATGGCTTCGTGTGAGTAAACGATGATTGTGTATGAATATTAAATATGCTAATTTAAGTACTTATGCAAATTTTCCACTTCTCAGACGGTTGGACCACGGATGACGTAATTTTCAAATGGAAACATACCCACCCGGTGCAAATCATTAGCAATTTGCATCTCCCGAGGTTTGCGTTGGAGCAATTTACGACAGGTGTGGTTGAAGAGTTAAGATTATTTGGACCCGAATTTTGTGCACATTTTTCGTGACACTGTTTTTTCTTAGATTACTGCGACAGTGTGACCAACACGGGGACGTATTCGTGTCTCAGGGTCGACCTCTTATTTAAAAGACAGTTCAGTTACTACCTTCTTCAAATCTACATTCCGAGCTGTATGTTGGTCATCGTCTCCTGGGTGAGCTTCTGGCTGGATCCTGACGCTGTACCGGCTCGTGTTCCACTCGGGGTCACCACGCTTTTGACAATGGTAACGCAGGTAAGAAGATGGATTTTGGGGTAGAAGAAATTCGTAAAACAACGACATGTTTGCAAAAAAAATAAGCGCAATTTTTTTCCTATGTTAGAATTTTAGATATTTTATTAAAGCTACGGCTTTAAACTATTTAGATATGCGACCCTTGTGCAATTACTCAGTTTTTTACCCAAGTCAGGGCTTATCTAAACATCACTGTTGTCTTTCTGTCCATATATTACGCTCTTAAAACTTATCCATTCGACTTGAAATTTTGCAAACACATACATAGAATATGCAAATTAAGCATCAAGTCGAAAAATAAAAACAAAAGTTGTACTGGTGGTACCCCTCTCAATTTATTAAATAATAAAAACAACCTGACTCGGGCAAAATAAGGCTGCACTGTAGGTTTTTCAGTTATGTATAATTTGTGACCACACTTCATGAATATTAAAAACCCTAACAAAAGTAAACTTTCTCCAACTTTCACCTTCTTTTTTCAGACGTCCGGCATAAATCAGAAGCTTCCTCCGGTCTCGTACACGAAGGTAATATTAAATTTCTTATTGTGACAAGAATACTAATGCTTTCACTTTTTGTACATCGCCCTTTACAATAAAAGGCCCTCGACGTGTGGACTGGGGTATGCTTAACCTTCGTGTTCGGCGCTCTCCTAGAGTACGCTTTGGTCAACTACACCTCCCGCAAGGATAAGCACAGGGCAGCCGTGATTAAGCAGAGGAAACAGTGGGACGCTGACCAACAGAGGTTTCAACAAGGGAAAAGCCCCACTTATTATGGCGCAGGGGATTGCAACCATCCAATAACAGCGTTGGTTAGTTACCTACACAAATATGGTAATTTTGCCGTGTAAAATACTTTCACTCATTACAAAACTTTCTCTTTCCTGTAACAGTGGCCGGTCAACTATGAGCACGAATCTCGCTGTGCGATGCACTTTGGTGGTCTCCTCAACGCCGGGACGTGCACGAAAACTTGGTTGGCGAGATTCCCATCGAGGTCGAAGAGGATTGATGTCATTGCCAGGATCGTGTTTCCACTACTGTTTGCTTTCTTCAATGTCGCCTACTGGTGTGCATACGTGTTGAGGAAGGAGGACCCTGAAAGTCTTATTGAATAGGGGATTAAATTTATTAATTAAGAAAAAATAAATACAAAATTTATGTATATGTATTATTTGCCAAATGCACAAACAATCAAAGAGAGGGAATTAATCAATCAAATTTTTCAAAATAACAAAATAAGCAACGGAAACGCTTCATAAATACAATGTAATATTGGATAAAAAATCAAAATCAGGGCGAAATAATTGGTTGTTGAGAATAAGTAGTTAGGGAGAAGTGCTTAAAATAATGTGGTGTTAAGGGGGTTTGTTTGTTGATGGGATCGAAATTTATTATTATTGCCCAAGTGATGGGAAAAAGTGAACAATTAAGGATAATTAAGGGACAACAAATATCTAGGGATAAGATGCACCTATCTAATCTATATTTAATGAGTGTTTTAATGTAAAATTATGTGTGTAAATTAAGGGATGATAACATTTTGTTGAGTATTACTTCTTCTATAGACTTTAAATTATCTGGGTGTTAATGCAAGCATGGTGTAATGGGGGTACTCACGACAGCGTCTTATTTCTCGTGAAAACTCATTTAGCAAATATTTTGCGAAATAAAGACATGCCAATTTTCTCATGGCAGTCGAGCAAAAAGTGTTGCGGAATCTCGATAAGTTAATAACTTAAGAAACTATGATTGTGTGCTGAATTGTTAGATTTGCGAGGTATGCGAAGGTTATCGTGAGTACCCCCAATATAATAAATTTCTTGCTGGAATTGTGCTAAAAGGATCAATTAATTTAGACGACTTCATCATAATAAATTAGACATTTATGAATAGAAAAGTATATAGTACGAAATTAGTTAAGTAGAGCCGATTTTTTATTAAAGTTTATAAATTTGCCATAGGCCATAATTAAGCTCAAGTATCGTAGAGTTTGTACATAGATGATCATAATGAGTAAAAGTTACTTATACAGGTTATGCATTTACTAGCGTATTTTTTATTAATTAGCAGTGAAGTACTTGAACAATTGACCCATTATAATTTACGAGATATCGATTATTAATATCTACATAAGTAAGGAATACATGCATATACTTTTAAAGAATTTATGATACCGCACCGAAATAAAAATTCACTCCTTTTTAACTAAACTGATGTGCTAAATTATTACAACGAAGCCATTGATAGCTCACAGTTTTATGTTAACTCAATAAGTTACGGAAATATGTATGCACTTCCTCTTCCTGTATTATCCAAACTGGATAAAAAATTGTCGCTGTGAGGGAAAAGCAGACACAACAATTTTCCTTGCACTATTTCTTAAATGCAATTGCAAATAAGTATGTAATTAGTGAAAGTGGTATTATTCTTGATAACTTAACATGAAATATTGTGCCCGTTTCAATTATATATACCAAATTACTTAAGTAATACCTCGCTTAGACCACTTAAGAACTAATCAATTACTCTCCAGACTAATTGTCCAGACAAATTGTCTCCAAATTACAATGCGTGTCACAAACTGAGCATCATTTCTCTTCGCCCAGATACAAAGCACGACAGCTGGAGCAACAAAGGAAGTCATTCTCAGGATGACGCTACCTATCAAATTGCTACTGATAATTATATTCTTAACCATATCAACGTCACTCGCATCCAAAATGGAGGACAAACTAATCAACCATCTCCTCGCGAATTATGCCCCGTTAAGCAGGCCAGTCCCATTGACAAAATCCGTCCTAATGGTCGGAATAGGTATCAACATTTACCAGATTGTCGAAGTAAATGAAAAACATCAATACATGACGAGCGTGCTTCACTTGTGGAGGAATTGGACGGACGAAAACCTGACCTGGAATGTCTCCCAGTTTGACAACATTACCTACGTCCGAATCCCTTCGACCAGAATTTGGCAACCCGACGTCTTCCTGTACAACATGGGGAACGAGGAGATGCTCCAGTCGGCCAACAACCGTGAGATCCTCAACGTAATTGTGAATCATACCGGAACCGTGCTTAGCGTGCCCCCAAAAATGCTAAAGTCGATTTGCAGAATGGACGTGACCTGGTTTCCGTGGGATGAGCAAAAGTGTGACCTGATTTTTGGAAGTTGGACATATTCAGGATCGGAAATGGACTTCACGGTTCGAGAGGAAGAAAACATGATGCGGTATTACATTCCGAATGGGGAGTGGCACCTGGTGGGGATCAAGGCAAAGAAGGTGGATAAATTTTACGAGTGTTGTAGTGACTCGTATCCATCGGTGGTTTTCACGCTGCATATTAAGAGGAACAGCATGTACTACTTGTACAATTTGATCGTGCCATGTGCATTAATTGGTGAGATGTTAAATTAGTTAAATTATGTAAAATTCAGAATTCACTCGGATGTTCGTAACCCAATAAAATGTATACAGTTTTAAACACACTTCAGATCTTTCGGGGAAGTTTGGAAATTCTAAAATTGCTAAAAATAATTTTGCAAACTGTCATTGGTTACCAAACATCCGAGTTTTGACCTTTTGACCTTAATGACCCATTATTTTTTCTGTAGGATTCCTCGCCATCCTCGGTTTCACCTTACCACCGGACAGTACCGAGAAGCTGTCTCTCGGTGTGACCGTGCTGTTCAGTTTGATCGTATTTCTAAATCAGATCACCTCCACCATGCCGGCCAATTCGGATAACGTTCCACTAATCGGGACATACTTTAACTGTGTCATGTTCACCATTGCGCTATCCGTGGTGAGCACGATCATTGTAAACCTCAACATCCGGTCGGGTAAGGAACCAAGGGCGATTGGAAGGCATACGGAAAAGCTGTTGCTAATCTGGTTGCCATGGATACTGAGATTGGATTTGCATAAATACTATGACAATGGTGGAAGAAACAAAAGCTTCAGGAGGACCATGAGTGCCATTGAGGATGCTGTCTTAATGAAGGGCGAAAAACCAAAGTCGTACCAGGGCAACGAAGTTAAGGTGACATCATCACCATTTTTCAAAACAGTCCCAAATCTCGAATTGCTGAAGGATAAATGGTTATTCGCCGCTGTAGTTGTCGACAGATTGTGTTTGTTGGTGTCAGTTTTGTTTGCTGTAATTTCAGTCGGAATTATGTTGGTCTCAAAGCTTACTTAAGAATCATTTAAAAGTAATACTTGGAAATAATATGTAAGTTAATTCCTGTTTTTCAATTTTAATTAGCTCAGCAATTTGTTTGGTTTTTAACTGTCTAACATATATAGAAATAATTCTTGGACAAAAATTAATTTTATTAATAAAACAAACACATTTACGTAAAAATTAGTTTCTAATCTAGCAAATTAAAGCCTATCGTAACAAAAGGAATTTAATGGACATTCTTGTATTCATGTGCAAGTCCAATCTGATTACGGAAAGTGAATGTCAACAGACGACTCATAACAAAACTTCGATTGGCACGAGGAGTCATTTATTGTCAAGTGGGCGATCCTCCCCGTGACTATTTATGCAATTATGTATTCTAATTGTTGTAAAATTAATTTACTAACTAGACTTCAAAATACATACATACTACGCGACAACAATTAATAAATTATCACCACTTTCCTACCAAACGTCATAAACTTCAGTCTACCAAGAAACTTAGCATTCTTCAAATTAACAACTTGAAGCATCAACACACATACTTGACCCCATTTTTTGCTTATCATGCTACTTTCAAAACTAAGCATCCTCCTCTTAATTTGTATCCACTCTGTAAACTCATCCCGCATAGAGGACGCCATAATTGACCACATTCTCACAAATTATACCCCCCGAAGTCGTCCAGTAAATTCAATCAAAACCGTCCTCAACGTTTATATTGGGCTCGGCTTGCAACAAATAGTTGAAGTAAATGAAAAACAACAATATATTACGAGCGTTGTCCACTTGACGACGCAATGGATAGATGAATACATCCACTGGAACGCGTCCGACTTTGAAGACGTCATCATGGTGCGAATCCCTTCCGTCAAAATTTGGCAGCCCGACATCTTCCTGTACAACATGGCGAGTGATGCAATGTTCGAATCTGGCGAGTACCGCGGGAAGTTTAACGTCTTGGTTGGGAATAAAGGGCTCATTTACAGCGTTCCGCAAATGGTGTTGAAATCAGCGTGCAAAATGGACGTGACCTGGTTTCCATTTGATACACAAAAATGTCCTCTTAGCTTTGGGAGCTGGACTTTTTCCTCGATTGAGATGGACGTAAATTTGCTGAAGAATGGGATTGACTTGGATAATTATATTCCGCATGGCGAGTGGAAACTGGTGGGTGTGACGGGTAAAAGGGTGTCCAAAATATATACATGCTGTCCCGAAGAGTATTTGACCATCAGGTTTACCCTGCATATTAAGAGGCAGACGATGTACTATTTCTTCAATTTGATTGTGCCAGCGTTTCTGATTGGTAAATTGCCTACCTATTAATTTGCATATGCATCATAACACCAAGTCAAGTTGTACTTAACCGTGGTCAACTAATGAACTTTAGGATTCCTTGCCATCCTGGGTTTCACACTGCCACCGGACAGCGGAGAAAAGTTGTCTCTCGGGGTGACCGTGTTGTTCAGTTTGATCGTATTTCTAAATCAGATCACCTCCACCATGCCGGCCAATTCGGATAACGTTCCTCTAATCGGGACATACTTTAACTGTGTCATGTTCACCATTGCGTTATCCGTGGTGAGCACGATCATAGTAAACCTTAACATCCGGTCGGGTAAGGAACCAAGGCCGATTGGAAGGCATACGGAAAAGCTGTTGCTAATCTGGTTGCCATGGATACTGAGATTGGATCCTGGAAAATATTACGATAATGAAAAATCTCCAGTTTATCTGAGGAAGACAGCAATTCAAGATGTCCTAATGATTGGAGTAAAACCGGATAAGTCGCACAAGGAAAAAGTGGGTGTGGTTGGCAACGTGGGACGCACGTCAGGACGAAGAAATGATCCGCAGTTGAGAGAAAAATGGTTATTCGTTGCAGTGGTGGTTGATCGGTTGTGTTTGGTTGGGTCGGTTTTATTTGCGTTCATTTCAGTCGGAATTCTATTAATTTCAAGTTTGACTATTCACTAAAATTAATCATTTCCCATGGCATAATGTTTTCAAAGTTTGACAGTCATGACAAATTACAACTGGTTATGACTTACTTAACAGCATACAGATTTCAGTGTCAACGTATGTATTTAGGTAGGTATCTACATACATTGTCTCTCAAATTTGGACAAGTTCCATTTATGTATTTGTGTGTGACGTGTGCATGTCATACGTACTTTTGTACCTACATGTGCAGCATTCTACTGACATATTCGTCTCCAATTTATTAGTATGTATACATTTAAATATGTACCATATTTAAATTATTATGCAATATAATCAATTATTCTTTTGATAGTAACGATAAATAATTCGGGTAATCGGGACAACCCTAAATATGTACCTCTTCGGATATCTCGAATGTCTCGCATGTTGAGAATAACTACTATGCATATTCCAAACTTCCACAGAACTTTTGCCGGAAAATCGTGGAATTTTTTTCGCAAATTTACCCAGTAACTTATTATGTTTCTATTTCACAAAATTATTTCGGAACCTAATCTTCTTCATCACAAGTGGGATAAATTGTTTAGCTAATCTAGGACAACTAAATCAAAGTTGGATAGCAGGTTTGTTTTTATAACTTTGCGAAATTTACACATATTTTCGAATCCCCTCACGACACATGCAGTGCGAAATAAGACCTTGTCGTGAGTACTCTTAATGTTAATATGTTGTCATGTTGAATATCAAAGATCGTAAAAATAAATGTATTGCTAATTCGTTTTGCATATATCTATTATTAATTGTCTAGATAGTTATTAGCTAATCTTAAATTTTACGTTGCTTTAACTGTTGTCACGGCCGGCTTTAAAGTGCTTATGACTACTATGGGCTGTATTGTGGATGGATGTGACGATGGTTTATGGGAAGATTTAGGCGCTTCTGTCGTGATCTGTATCGGTGCTTTTGAATGGGGTTCAGTCGTGTGGGGTGGTCTTGAGGGTTCTCTTGTAGTTATCTTTGGTGGCTCACTGGTTGGAGGGGGCTTGGAATGTTGTACCGTTGTCGGTGGTTTTGTGGTTGTTGTTGTTGAGTGGCTTGCCGTGGGTGGTGGTGATGGTGGGGGTGGTGGTGCTGTCGTCGGCGGTGGCGTCGTGGTCGTAGTTGTGGTAGTCGTAGTCTTCGGCGCCATGCATGACCACGGCATTATAATGCAGTTCAAACCCATTTGGCACTGCTGAGCTATCGCCATTGTCATTGAACACACCAATTTTGGGTCCATTGGTGGCATAGCTAAGACAACTATAAATATAATTACATATGCCTTAATTATGATATGAGTATTAGTTCAGCTTACGAAGTGGGCTCCCTCCACCACAACTGGTCGTCTCAAAATGATAAGCGGCCAACAAATATGTAATAAAGGCTGAGAGAAAGATCATCTTATTTTTGCCTCGAAAAATATTAATAAATTTGGTTAAGTGTAAATTTTTGCAACAATTTTTGTTAAATAATGTGACGACAAATATACACAGTCTGAATGTGAACAATTAGATTAACAATGCTGAAATTTATGGTCTATTTACGTTATTATTGTTATATGTATGTACGTACATACGTATTTGTGAGGCCATAACGGGTTTAATTACAATGTTCGACTCGTCACTGACAAAGTTACCCTGATTAAAGAATGCATGAAATTGAGAGAATAATAAAATGTTTCCAATTAAGTAAGTGCATGTGCATATATTTTCTTGCATTTATGCTTCAAATTTTATCTATGCCTACATATCATTGTTAATTAGTGGCATTGCTAAATGAGAAGTAGAAACATAAAGAGTTTAAGTAGAGAAGACTATGAATTTTCAATTAAGCATATTTTACAAAGGATTAAATGATGTGTATATGTATGTAATTCGTACCGATGACAAGTTATTTTCCTTGGTTCATTCTTAAGAGGTTACGTATGTGTATTACTTAATTGTATTGACAGGTTGACTTTTAGTCCCTTTTTAAGAATACTGCAATCCGAATTACGAATAAATATGTATCTACATTTGGTGTCTGGAGAAATTATTTTAATTACATATGTCGGTCTACATATTTACATGCATAACTGTTAGCTTAAAATTCTAGCAAGATTTTCTCAAAAACATGGTATGGTAGATTATCTATATATGCATGCGTAGTTTTAGAAACGCGATATGTACATACATATAGATACATAGTACTTAACATTATTATATAGACAAAATCCTAGATTATTTAGACAATTTTTATTGAACGTGGTAAATAAGATATAAAGCTGTAAATGTTTCCTACTAAATGTGCAAGTACATTGTACATACTTATGACATTTATGAACTTGAAATGTACATAAAGTATGTAAATATGTTAATCTTTTAGAATATTTTATTCAATACTTACTCTTGTTTTCATACTAGAGGGTGAATGTTCAACGCGATTGTTATCACAAGACCGTCTGCAGAAATACTTATCCTTCCATACAATAATTAATGCATGCATGCTAGCATTAATGGCACTTGTGCTAAAAAAGAAACACAAAGGAACCAATAGCTGAAGGACTAAAATATGCATGTATAATATACATACATACATACATATCTAAGTATTATGCACTAAGGATAAGATATTTTCAAGATAGTTTCTCTCTACAATGTGTTGATAATCCACTTGAAACTAGTGTACATAGATTAAACACTTAATCGCACACTCTTGTGCTAAATGCTAGATTTACTTATATTATTTCAAAGTTCAAATGAGGTTGCAGAAGGCTACAAAAATTAGTCCTGTCTGGAAACCACCATAATCTGTCTATGTAGCATTAGAATATTTTTACTCACTTTTTAAAATGGAAACAATGATTGACATTGTCCAATTCTTCAACGCGTTCACCTCCACCATTTGCCTCCCAACTTTCATAATTGAGCAAAATCATCTCAATGTTAGAGATGATTTCGACTTTTTCGACGAATTGCAAGTCACTCTACCCATCTTACTTTTGACCTCGATAGATATTCTTCTAGTAGACAGAAGATATTCGAGGGCGATACTTCCGTCATATTTTCGGTATCGATATCGATACCGCGATCAAGTAATACAAGTTTGCTCCAATATTTACTACGTCGGTCTGGCAAAATTAAGCAGTCAAACTGAAATGATTGACAAACTTCGTGTCCTTTCAAGGATTTTCGTTAACATCCCAACGTCTCACAAATTTATAATTGCCGCCATTCCTCCGGATTTATTCTCTAGCACGATTTCATTACTTGACTCAATCACGTCTAACGTAGACCTTAAAATATTTCTTGTTGAGATGTTTAATAAGAAAGAAGTTCATGGTAACGGTAACAAAATTGCATACTACTCTTGTATCCATTGTCCTTCAAATCATGCAAAAATTATCGAAACACCAGACTCCCCCGAGATGGCGTTGAATATCTTCACCTGGCTTGTAAAAATCGAGCAGAAATCGCTATCAGATAATGCCAGGTCGACAACTTTAGGTAAATTTGTTTCCTCTCGGCGGAGTTACGACATTATCGACCAACACGAATTCTCAGTGGGCGTTGCAAAGGTGGCGGAATATTTGAAAAATCAATACAACCAGGAAACATTCGATTTCAATTATTTCACCAGAGCACATCGCACCCTTGAAGTTTTCGATTTCGACCAGATCCTAGATTTTATCCTACTGGAGGAAGCGTTTAAGCAAAATTTGTCCATCTCATCGAAACGTCTCAGGAATAAACTTTCTTATTTCGTGCCTAAATTTCAAGACGTTATTTTCTTCGTCGCACAGAACGGGAACGTGTTTTATACCTTTATTGGCGAAATGGACTACAACTTTATAACTTGCGACGGTATGCAGTCCCTCCTTCGATATGAACTTTATCTCACTCCGGCAGACATATACTGCTGGGCATTAAGCATTTTAGCAATTGTCATAGTTTCGGCGATTATTGTATTTCCAAACCTGTCCGGTAATTATATCTTTGAAATGGGAACGAGAATAATCGACCTCTTCGGGGTTTTGATTGAAAAGCCGATTACGATGAAATTTCACATTACCCCAAAACTTAGCCTGCTCCTATTATCGATATGGATATGGAGCAGCCTGATTCTATACACGGGTTGGAAGGCTGCCTTCACAACGGAAGTAATTAAGCCAACAATTCCGACGAGTCGATTCAAAGGATTTCAAGATCTGATCAATTTCACGTTCTACTTTCCCATTAAAGAAGAGTATTATGAAGTTTATGAAAATCCCGCCTTGGGAGCATTCATTCCAGAATTGCAATTGATTTTTCGGTATCTCAAAAATTCTAAGGAACCAGGAATCGCCGATTTGTCCCATGCAACTATGGCAATGAATGTGGAAACCGGGTATACTCGCATATTCCCGATGGCTTATAAATACCCGGACCACTTTCTTGGAAATTTAACTAAAGAGGGATGCAAAAATAAGGCCTATGTAGACACGAAGGACAGCATTTGCAGAATTCTTCCATATTCAAATCGCAGAATGAAAAAGTTTGGGGTCAGGTTTGCCAAAGGGGAGCGAGTCCTCAGAACGAATCCGAAGGGGTGGATGTGGCTACTATTTGGCGATGGGAGGCAGGCCGAAGGGCTCATCAGGCGGCAGAAAGGGATAATTTCATCGGGGATTTATAAATATTGGTCGGGATTATATGAGCAGTTTGGGAAGGTAAAATTATTTCAATTTTACGATGAAGAAGCCGAGTTGAGGAAGAAGGATGTCACCGAAGGTATGAAAATACCGTTAGGACTGGAGTCGAAAATTGTGTCGAGTATTGTGATATTTTTCATATCGTGTGCAATTTCTTTGATTGTATTCCTCGCTGAGGTTTTCTACTTTATGTATGAAGTTTTAGCATAATGATGAATTTATAAATTTACACTCTTTCTATTTAAATAATATATTTAGAAAATATTGACATTAATGTCATAAATGTAAACTGCTCTAACTTGCTTCACATATACTTATGTACGATATAGTTAAAAATAATTCTGCGACTGGTTATTATGTTCTTCAATAAATAAGTAGGTATGCCAGATTTGCAGTACAGTTTGAAATTTGTGTGTATTTATTAGCTAAAAATGTATGCATATTTGCATATGTATGGACCCGAAGCAGGATTAATTTAATAAAATCATTAATAATGAATCTATGTAAATGTCCATGAATGCCAGTAATTAATCTCAATACCCTAGGAATGCATACATAATTTAGTATATTTGTTGATTTGCATATGAAATAATGCATCGGTACCCAAAATTCCAGCGATCTGTTAAAAATACTTTTAACCCTTTTCTTTTCCAGCGAATCCAATTGACTTGATATCATAGGGGGTGGATTAACCCGACTGATAATTAAAATACGTATATTTAAACGGGAACGACCTATCATATCCTAAGTCAACCGTACACCACCATCGCTACATATGCACATTACCATCATATGGACCACAAGTTCACATAAATGGTCACGATTTATAAATTCTTCTACATATTCCTGGAATCTACGTTCTATTTGGAAACTTTTCCAGACCCTTTAAAAAGGGTTATTACATTTCCACATGTGCACATACCAATCTTCATGCAACTGCATTGTGAGAATTTTGAGGGTACGTGCCAAACCACTTCAACAGAAACGCTCACTCCTTTTCGAGACAGTGAAACAACCAGATCCAGATATTTTTGCTTCTTACATCAAGTTTGCAATAAAGTAACGCACTGTTACAATTAATCTTTTAGTATTTAGCGTATCTTGGAGGTGTGCAAGTTTTACGAGAACATGTCGCTGGAGAGAATGAATACATCCGCGCTAGAGGTATGTACATATCTGATTAATTACCTGGCTGAATGATGTGACTTAAAACGTGCATATTACATACAACACTATACTTATCAATTTTGTAGATCAAGGACGAATTAAGTGGAGAATTTAGTTGGGATTTTAAAATTCCACCTCGCACCCGAATAAACCAAAACATGAGCCAGTTTGGTAATGGGGGATTCGTATTTCCAGATTTGAAATTCAGCACTGGATTTCTTGCCCATGTGGATCACAAATTGTAAGAACTATTTAATATTATATCCATCAAGATAATTATGATTTTTTTTTTTACTTTTTTAAATAAGCAACTCCTAATAATTCTAGATCCTTCGCAATATACGCCAATCAAGTGAATGCATTTTTGCAACTTCCCATCCAACATAATAAAAAGCTCGAGTTACGCACGGCTACTTTGGAGTTTTTTTCGTCACCATTTCGACTTCCGGGGCCCAGGCAAGAATTACGGTTCGTGTATGACCTGATCCATTGCGAGGAGAATGTGTACACCCGTTACGCCGGAATTTGGACTAATGATGACGCAAGTTGGGATGATGCCGTGCACATGATAAGGCTAAATCTTTCTGTCGTATGCCGCGAACGTGAGTGCTATTTTTTACATAAGTAAAATTTAATTAGAGAGAAAAATGCATATTAAATAATAATTTATTATTCAGGTGGGGAAGTTATTCCCTATGCAAATGAGGACATCGCCAACAAATTTCTAGTGGGCGCCGAGGAAGCTGTACGCTTAGGCGGGTTTGATGACATGTTCTTATCAGGAGATCTCTCAGATGTTATGCTCGTTTGTGGGGACAATGCAGAATTTCCGGCGCATCGCTTCCTCTTATCGGGTAAGTGACAAGCTAAGCAATTAATTCAGAAGTAAAATTATTACCGAGTGAAGACACTCCATTTCTACATATTTGTTACGATTTATCACGGAAAGGTAACAATAGCTGATAATTATTTACATTTTAATTTTGCGGAAAATAATTCAATGTTAAATACAAACTGTATGACGAATTTACTCAGGAACAATTTTGTTGCAAGATTATTTGCGTATTTCAAATTAATAAAGCTCTGATTAAACTTGCAGGTAAAAGTCCCGTCTTCAGGAAAATGTTTCAAGATGAAGGGAAAGGGGCGAAGGAGGGGAGAATAATTTTGGAGGATATTTCGGCCCCAGCGTTAAAAGAGTTCTTACGGTTCCTTTACTGCGGTCGGGTCCTGCGTTGGGGCAATCCATTGTTTCAGGAGTTGTTCAAATTTGCGGAAAAGTTCGAGGTTCAGATGTTGAAGAATGTGTGCGAAAGGAATCTCATAGACGGATTAGGGGTCAACAATGCGGCTGAGATGTATCGTCTGGGAGAGATGCACAATGGGGTCGTTTTGCAGGAACAAGCGCTGAAAATCATTGCCAAGTGAGTACTTATATTTAGATACTTGATTTATTGGTTTGCTATAATTAAGTCAATTCACTCGGGTGTTTGTAATTCAGTAAAATGTATAAAATTGCTTTGGGAAATGGTGCATACTTTATTACAAATTGTAAATGCCCTACTCCGAACAAATGCTCACGAGTTTTTGAACGCAGATGAAACGAGTGTACAGTTCATACGAATTAAGTCAGTTATTGGGTTACAAACTATTGAGGAATTGTGGTCCAGCCAGACTTATTTGAGGTTTGAAACAAGTTGACAATTGTATGTTTATATTTATTTCAGAAACAAGGGCGGAATCTTTCCAGATGCATCGACGCTTAAGCAGTTTTCGGATAGATATCCTGAAATCATTTTTGAATTGTTGAAATCTTGAGTTATTCTTTCCCGTCGGTTTATCGATGGGCACTAGTGGCCAACCTGTGTCCCTTTATTTCCTTACCTACATACTAGTACGTACATATATAAAAATTCTTGTAATCCAAGTGCCGGAATAGGCAAAAGTGGTGTAATAATATTTTCCACCCTCTGTCTGTTTTGAAGCTATTGCAAAAACTGTACGTCATTTTAAACATTTGGGACCTATAATAAATTTTGTATAAATTTTTAAACGTGATACTGAATGTATGTATGTGCATAAAATGAATCATCGGGTCATTGAGTTGTTTTCTCGATAAATATGTTGCGGATTGAATTGTCGTTGAATTGATCATGTCATGAGTGTTATCATAAATGTTCATAATGTTGCTCATGGGCTAACTACCTTACAACCGAGACAAATATGACTCATCATTGAACTTCAATGACATGCTGGCGTCAAACATTGCAAAGTATCAGGCACGGGCTAGTTCTCGTAAATTGGGCATGATTGCGTTCTTATGAAATTAATAAAGAAAATTTTCGTAAAATGGACGCCGCGCACATGTATGAAATGTATGCAGTAACTATATCACGCATCTACTTAAATTAATTTATGAATTTTAATAGCCATAAATCATAAACAAATAAATTTGCTCCTTCTGTATATTTATCTATACTATAAAATATTTTGATATGCAATTTATATTCACTACAAAATCTTTCGAACTGAACTAAAAATGAACTGATCAACTATTTCAATTTTTTGCAAATGCATACTTACGCAGATTTTGCAGAACAGATATCAGTATGAGAGAAAGATATAAGGTTTGTTTAAATGATTACTAAATCTCATCTGAGTTCAATATTAAACTCAACAAGTTGTCCTCGTGGTGATTCATCCCACTTTATTTCGAAATCTACACTCTCAAGTGTGTAAAAATGTATGTACCCGAAGGTGTGTTATTGTATCATTCTCATTTTCATCATATTCCTGCTACTTGAGATGTACTGGTCAATTAATTGACTTTTTATCAGTACATGATACTCGTTGAATATAAAGGTATGAATGAAGCGAGTCACAAATCAGTGTAAAAATTGTCCTCCACCAATTATGATCAAACTACTTATTTCGCTTACCCTTCTGGCCTTCGTGGCTATTACCTCTGCAAAATCTGTACCGACGAATGGCATCAACCTAAAAAATGTAGAGGTGTTGGACAACGATGGTAAATACATTTTGGGCTGGGAGGTTGTCGGAGATGAGATAATATTTGAAATCGAGGCCGCAACGCTGGGTTGGGTGGGGTTCGGAATCTCTCCAACCGGTGGGATGACCGGTGCGGATATAATCATTGGTGGCGTCATGCCAGATGGAGTTCCGTATTTCGAGGTAATTTAAGAATCAGCTTGAAATTGTAGCAAAAATTAATTGAATTTCGTTTGCAGGATCGATTCGGAGTTGGTCAAACCGTGCCGAAGGTTGATGACCATAATGATTGGACGTTACTCGTAGCGATGGAGTTTGCCCTGAGTGGGAAGACGGTCCTCCGGTTTTCTAGGGCTTTAAACACCTGTGATGATGAAGATTATCCGATTGGGGTTAGTATTTGTTTTTGTTGTTTTGTTTTGCAGTTTAAGCTTAATGTTTAATTAAATTTAATCTTGAATAGAATGATACGAGTCGATTAATCTGGTCGATGGGAGAGACAGATGTCATTCAGTATCATAATACTCAGCGAGGGACAAAATCAACCAATTTACTTCATGCCGATGTCCCCGAAGTGGACTTGGACAAGTAAATGAGAATACATTTTGCTATAACTTGGTTACTAATCGTCTCTCTTTGTCCCTCAAAGGGTTACAACCTGGCCGATGATTCTTGACATGGAAATGCCTGATCAGGACACTTCCTACTGGTGCAGTTTCCATCGGGGTCCGACCCTTGAGACTAAAAATCATATCGTTGGGGTAATTCCCAATATAATTTAATTTAATTTTGCAAAGTTTTTTTGCAATGTTACATCGACATACATAATTGTCAATTCCACAGTTTGACGCAAAACTACCATCCTCAGAATCACTGCGACACACGCACCACTTTATTTTGTACAATTGCTTCATTCCACCCGGTTCGAATGAGACGATGGATGAAGTTTTTGACGACCATACTGTCGACAAGGGTGTTACTGGGGGACATTGTTACGACGAGATGAGCCCACTGCCCATCGGGTATTGCAAAGAGTACGTCTTTGTGTGGTCAAAAGGTGGCAAGGTATTGACTTTTAGGATTAAATTAGTTTAAAACACGACTTAATAAATGTTATCTTATACGAATAGCAAATGGTATTCCCTGAGAATGTCGGTTATCCAATCGGCAATGAGCCTGGCAAGCTGTACTACATGTTGGAAATTCATTACGATAATCCCGACAAACTCACAGGGGTACAATTTGAGTCTGGGGTCGAATTCTACTATACGAACGAACTTCGGTATATAAATATTTCATATAGCGACTAAAGCATCACGAATTTATTATATTTCTACGTATGCAATTACACAGTGAGCATGACGCTGGTCTTGTGACATTAGGACACGATGTCGAAATTTCCCTAACAGTTCCCCCAAATACGCCAGATTTCCTGGTTGTAGGACATTGCGCACCTGGCTGTACGGAAAAGTTCCCTGCCGATGGACTAACAGTGTTTAATTCGCTGTTGCATTCACATCTGTCCGGTAAACAATTTAGTGTCATCAAAAATAAATACTATGCATGGATCCGAATGGAGGATAAATTGTTGCAATTATTTTAGGAAGAAAAATTAAAACGCGACATTTCCGAGGGAACGTTGAGCTGCCTTGGATAGATTTTGATGATCACTATGACTTCGACTACCAGCAAAACAAACCGCTAATGGAATACGTTAAAGTTCTTCCTGGCGACCAAGTCACAGTTGGTACGATTTACTTTTAACAGAGCAAAGAGATAAGATAGTTTGGATTAAGGATTATTAATTTTTCATATCCGTTAATAGCTCAGATCTGACGTTTAACAATCATAATTAATTAAAATAATGATTAATTTTACAGAATGTATTTACGATTCCACTTGGAAAAATGGAGAAATCGTTCTTGGCGGCTTATCAACTCGGGAAGAAATGTGCGAAGCAATTTTGTGGTACTATCCGAAAATTGATATCGATATTTGTGGTTCAGAGTATGACATAGATATGCACATTAAGGAATTTGGAGTTACTGAATACCACTCGTAAGACGAACATAAGTAATCAATTGGGCACCAGATTTGTACATTTTGCTTACAAAATTGGCATCGTATTTTTTCTCAGGGAGATGACCAACACGCTAAACAAGTACTTCATCGACGCACCACCATCGCTCGAGGGAGACTTTTACAACTCGATAAGCTTCAAGTTTAACTGGACTGAAGAATTCAAAAGTGGATATGCTGACAGGCGACAGAATGGAATGCACGTGGGAGATTGTCACGTTCGAAAAGATGGAGAATCTTGGTATTTTGATGTCGCCTACCCAGAAAATTATGAGAAATATGTTCCCGAAGATAAATGCGCTAATACGAATTGAATTAAATTGTAAACATAAATCTAGACTAGCTAACCAACGAATAAAAATTTGAACTCCTGAAAATAATTGCTAGAAATGCAGAAATTAAGAGTATGCAGATTTTGAAAAACATTTATTACCATATGTATGTATGTAAACCTTGAAATTTACTTCATTCGGCTTAGCAAAAATGAAACCACTACTGAAATTGTCATCCATCCAATTCCTGGTAAAAATCCTCTCCAAACGAACGGATGATAAATGTCCCACCCTCTCGTGCAAATTGACCGTAGCGCCTCAATCACATGTGTTAACGGCATCCAGGTGAACAGTTTACGGACAAGCGGTGTAACCAATTCCGTCGAAAATATAATTCCTGTTAATGACAATATTATAATATTCCGCATTTTTCACAGTTGCTAAGAATTAAATGTTAAATACCTGAGGAATAAATTTGACTTAATGTTATTAAAACCACAATAAATACACTCTTCAATATTCCGTCCGATATAATGCTGACCAAAAATCCTGGAAAAATTAACTATCGGCTACTAAACTGCTTTTTTCCAAAGGACACAATTAAATATATTACCAATCGACAGTCCACATAGAGCAGTCATGTACAACAAACCAACAGCTAGCAACCAACTGCCATGAATCACCATGCCATACACGCCGCAAAATAATGCAAAGAAAATTCCAATTTGTGCAAAAATCACGAAACTTTGAGTGACGATGTTGACAGCGAGTTGGTGCCAGAGAGTGACGCCGGTCACGTACTCTCGGTCCTCAAGGCCTGCCACTTTATCCTCCACCCAAACACCCCGATGCACATTGGTATTATAAACATGTACCTAAACATTTTCACATTTGTAAAAAGTTACAAATACATTTTACAGTATTGCACTATATAAATACATACATAATGTAATTTATTCTTGAGGGTATTCGCTATTTCTTCGTATCCGTAGTATCATAAAATAAATAGTTTACGAAGAAAAAACAAGGGGTCGAGCTTCGTATAAATCGTAAGCCTCGAAACGTGATTTTGGGTAGCAAATCTTATAAACCTTAGAAAAGCTCGTAACCGCGGTAATTTATTTTGCGATACGAAGAAATAACCTTCATTATTGTTGAACTCACAAAGTTAGGACACCAAGTTGCATGTAGGGAATTAAGTCGAACGCTTCTAAACTTCCGTATATTGCGTTGAACTAAAATCCAGAACAATTTGTGTAATATTAAATTAATAAGTCAAAATTTAACTTAGGATAAGAAATTAGGATACGGACATGAAGTGGTAGCTTAATCAGATCATCACTAATCGAGCATGACGACAAAATACTCTGGTCGTAAAGAATGTATTTTTCAAGGATACATTTTGTCGCCCAGGCTGAAAGAATTGAGCCTAAAAGTACCATAAATACGTCAAATTCATCACTGGCGGAGCATAAAAAGTCGTACCTGATTCGACCATGCGGATGGAAATGGTTGACCCGATAAGCGATTCGTTACTTGAAAAGTGTCGATATACCATCTTATCCTTGAAATGGGTTTCGTAATCTGTGGGAAATTCAATAAGGAGCATAGTCTGTCCTGATTTTATTTGTTCGATGCCTTCTTCATATGATTTGGCGGGAATCTAGTAATTCGATATTAGAAAACTTTAGTGAAAACGCACCCCTTTAGGTAAGTTACGCCAATTTTAGGTTTTACAATCCCGAAATAAGTACGAACTATTAAATAATTACCATTTTCGGTTTTACAAGCGTAAACTATTAAATAATTATCTTTACCCAAATGAATTTATCAGCAAATTTATCGAGAAAATTGCAAATCCCCATGTTTGAGAAACATTCATTGGAAGAATCCAAATTCTTGTCATCCTTACAGAGATTCGACGCTGGCAAATGTTTTGAATTATTGTACACGAGATTGGCTTGGATGCCATGGGGTTCACCCCCGATTATATTTTGAGAGATAAGAACACACAGGATAGGAACCCCAAGTTGCCCCAGATAAATCTATTTTCGAATTTTCGAGCAAATTTCAACAAGAATGAATCAAAAATACATGATATTACAAACAGAAATTACGAATAAATAAAAATCACCTCCAATCCCTTCGATTCCTATGCCACCATTTTGAAATTAAAGCCTGGAAAATAGTAGTGTTGTTACGTCGGATATTCAAAGAAGAGCCAAGTTTGTTAGGAAAATGCACGGGTGCAGCATTTTCGACTAAATTCTCAGAAAATCGATGATCCTTGACCGACTCATGACTCGTGTCATAATGATTTGAAATGTTTTCATCAGTTTTACAAAGTTCCATGAAGACGTCCACTAATTTCGAAGATTGGTACGTTGAAAGTAATGCCGCTGGGCTGTCCTCCACTAATAGACGACCACTTCGCAGAAATCCGACCTGTAATTTATAATTATTCAGAACATGCTGCACACGGGATGAGAATATCTGCAAAGTTTGACAAGTTTTTAACGTACTTTGTCACAAAATTTTGTCTCCTCGAAATAATGGGTTGAAATTATCACGGTTTTCCCTTGTTTGCTAGAAATCTCGGATAAATACTGCCAGATCCTACGAAATGTAAATCCCATACAGATTTGTACATTTCCTTAGGCGTCCTAAATATAAATTTGTGTGTACCTCTCTCGCAACAAAGGATCCAGCCCAACACAAGGTTCTAAAATGGGGTCATCAGTAAGTTGCATCATCTTAATCTTAATTATAAGCTCAAATTGTTACCGTCTAACACGAGTAGGGATGGATTATGAATCATTGCCACCGCCAAGGACACCCTACGCTTTTGTCCACCGCTATTTGTGATTATATTTAAATTTGTATTTTATTCTTAATTGGATATGAAACCTACAGAGAGTGCATTTATCAAGTTTTCATTCGAACCTTAACTTTTGAATTACTGCATCAAGTTGATAAAGGTCCAGAATCTCTGAGAGGAAACGTGTCCTGCTTTCAATTCAGGGCTTTCTAATTATCCACTTTTCTAATTAATTAGCAATTAGTAATTAGTTCCGAAAATTTTGATCTAATTAATTGTTTAATTAGTAATTACTTCTGACCAAGCAAACTAATTAATTACTTCTAATTACTAAATAATTAAGTTCGCCATACTCATAACTTTTTATGAATTAATTTCACAACATTTCAGCATGGCTAACGCCTCGAATAAGTCGTCTTTCAGCGAACGTAAAATGTAAAATTATTTTGAAATTTAAAACAAATTACGCACTACCTTGAGATGGCTGTGGAAATTAAAGCTGACCTTAGTTGTGCCGGTAATCGCTTTATTTGGACAAAATTTACAAGCAGTCGTTACTTTGTCGCTGTCGACTTTTTTAAAAGTATACCATCCATTCACATTTTCTAACAAGTTTTTGAGGTTCTATGCAAGGGAGTCCATTATATTCAAAGATATATCAAAAATATATTGCTATCTCGTTGTTTTAATACAAAGGTTTAAAATTGCAACTACAAGTGTAAAAAAGGCTAAGAAGTCGATAAAACACGCATGGTATATTTGCTGCCGACAAAAAATTTTTTAAAGGCTAAACGAGAAATATGGATTAAAAACTTAATTTTGTTTAGAAAAAACAAATTAATTAGTAATTGGTTTGTTGATCATTTTAATTAATTAGTAATTTTAATTAGGTAGTATTCTACTAATTAACTTTAATTAGTAATTAGTAATTAGACAGACATTGTTATTTAATTAGCTAATTAATTAGATTGACTAATTAATTAGAAAGCCCTGTTTCAATTTCCTTGGTTTCCATTCCATAAAGCAGTCCAAAGTACTTTAGGACTTCTCTGATTGTTAAAACGTTTACAAGCGCTGTCTCCTAATGTGCATAAAATTGTGTGTTTACGTATTAATCAGAAGCTTGTGCATGGCTCTTCATCAAGGAAGTTTCTGTAAATTTAGTTTACTTGAGGCATATAACCACAAAAACTGCCAAGATTGTGAGGCCGGGATTGGTCACACACTGTGACTTGGCCAGAATCTAGTTGGCGTAATCCTACGACACATGAGAGCAAAGTCGTCTTTCTAATGTTATTGTACGAAAAGGTAAAACTTTCAATCTGAATAGATATCTCAACAGAATTATCTTGTGAAGTTACCCACAACCACTCGCACCCAGAATACCGTATCTGTAAAATTTCAAATAAGTTTTTTTAAATATTTTTTTTGGTTAAAAAATTCATGCATTATAAATATCTCTAAATAATAAGTATTTCTCACATTTCTCCACTGGAAACATTGACGTTTATATTGTTGAGAACCAAATTGCCATTTCCGAATCGTTTAAATCCGTTTTTGATTGAAACAGCCATAATTCAACTGAAATAGAACTTCAGTAACCGCGTGTACTTCCGAACTGTCGACTTATGAATACACGTAATTATTTTCGAGTTATTGTCTCTGCAAACCATTTAGGTCACCAACTGCGCAATGCTTACACAATTAACCCGTCAGGTATGTATGCACATGTGTATTATAAATCACGGAGTGTAATGTACATGCATCCAAATAAAGTGCATGTTATACCAACATACGCTCCTGGACAGGACATGACATGTACATATTTGATATTTTGCATGAAGCTTTACATAATTGCATTTTTTCTAGCGCGTATTCAATTATGATGTGAAACAACCTTTCAACGACGCAATAATTCGCCGGAGAATGTGTTAATTATGCAGATTAATTATGTGATTAATTCATGAATACTTAAGTACTTATGTATTATGCATACATTGATACCGGTATTTTTGTTCAGAATCAGATAAGCCAATTAATCCGCATTCAGCTGAATGCAACACGTCGTCTGACATGCAAACATGCTTTGTGTAAAGACACAGAATGTGCTAGCTCACTTTTCTCACGGTTTGTTGAAATTATATTTCCAAAAGGGATCGAAAATTTACTATATTAAACTATGACTGAGGAGTCATGAGTAATATTTTAATGGCCTGGACAAGGAAGTCTGCATGTATATAGATAAGTATACACTTAGGGTTATCGCACACTTATCAAATCATAAATCCCAATGGTAGTTGACTAGAAGTAAATTGTATTGATTTAAAGCAATGTGTAACTTCTACTGACTTTATACATACGGCAATTTTATGTACACATAGGTATATATGTTTAGTTGTGAAAAAATTTTAATATCACTGACGTAAGTAATTAGTATTAAAAACTGACATAAAATTGACGCCCGTCATACATGTTTCAGAATAAGATCAATTAAAATGTCTTCCAATTCTCACAATTTCACATGTTGAAAAGCTATGTACCTATATGACAATTGTATTCAGAAAGTTAGCTACCGATTTGTGTTCTGTGCTGTCCTGTTTTAGATTTATTCTCGTCTCTATCTGTAACCTGTTATTAAGATCACAGGGGTGAGACATTGAAAAATTCCGTAGGAAAACAAATTTTAGTATTTTTTAATCAACTGTGGCAAAATTTCATATTATTTCATGCAGAAATTTAGCTTTGTTTCATGCAGAGAATTGGCTGGATTTTATGCAGACAAATTTATGCCGAAACAATTTGTGCAGAAAATATGCAGAATTATGCGTAATTGTGCTAAACGTTTCTGCAGAATATACCTGTCAGAAGTTTTATTCAGAATCGTTCATACTTTTTCTGAACAAACTATTGTGTAGAATTATGTCAAATTCGACATGCGATTTTCACCCGGGGTCACTTCTCACGGGCACAAACGGTCAGAGTGGGCAGCTTAAGGAGTTATACAATACGAGTCATACACATATTTAATTGTGTCGCAATACGATAAAATAAATTTCGTGAAAAGGCCTGGAATTTGAGAAAATTCGCTAATAATGTTATCTCTCAATGTTATCTTTTAAAATTATGGCTCTTAAGATATATGCTGCAAATAAAACCTATCAGTACAGCTTTGCTTAGCCCGAACCAGGAATGATTAGTAAACCCATGTTTGTCAGTAGTTTTCTATGAAATTATGTGCCACTATTTTCCATTAATTCTTCCATCAATCCTTCGTATTACTGTAGGCTCCAAATTCTAAAAATATTTACTATCCCTTTCCTTGACTACTTCCTAGTGGAGATCGTCTCTATAGCCTCCTGGTTAATTTTTGTTCATATTTAACTTCATGTTATTTCGTGAAAAAGCAGTATGGATCTCTGGTCCAAATTTCAGCTTTCTATGTTAATTTCTGAAAATCGGTGGGGGTCACCCCATAGGGTCCCTCTAGATGAAAATTTTACCAATTTCTCTTCATATTCATCCATTACGGGCCATTAGCAGCCTCTATACCAAATTTCAGCTCGATTGGATGATTTTGAAAAATCGGTATGGGTCACCCCCTCGGGTGCCTCCGGTTGAAAAATTTTCCAATTTCACTTCATATTCTTTCATTAGGAGCCATTAGCAACCTTCGTACCAAATTTGAGCTTTCTACGACAATTTTGAAAATTTGGTGCATAATACCCCACCCACTCCGATGACCCCCACCGGTCAACCACTGGACCGATTTCGCCCATCTTCGAACTCGTTTCCTAACTTTGTCCAATATGCATATGGCAAAAATTTCAAGTCGATCGGTCAACTCGTTCGAGAGCTGTCGAAAGACAGACGGACAGACAGACAGACAGACAGACAGACAGACAGACGGACATGACAATTACATAAGCCCTGGTTCGGGCTAAAAATTAAATTCTTCTAAAAATCTGAGTACCATTTGGTACTTGTTCAGTTCATCAATTAATTGTACATAAATTTCCTCACCATTAACCTACAACTAAATAAACAGACGTAACAACTACATGTGTGAAGCTGTGGATAATGCAAACAAATTCTACCACTAAGTCCACACCCACCTGGTGTCTAATCGACATTTGAATAGCAGGTAACCTTCAATTATGTCATGGGTACATTTGCAAACTTCGTGATCCTGGATTGAAAAAATCAAGTTCTTTATTTTTGCCCAGTGATATTTTATTGGTTTATGTACATATTTAAAATGTGGCTTCCCATCTGTTCAGAATATCCGTTTCAAAACCTATGAACATACGTCACTTCAAACCATCAGCATATAAAAGCAGACAAAATTGGCATAATTAATCATTCCAACTCCTACAAATCTCTCCTATCACAACTTAAAATCAACACCAGCTTCCAGCAATCCTTCAAAATGGTTATCATTGCCCCAATTTCGATCCTTATCGTTGGGATGATTGTTTCCTCTTCAATGGGAATCTACCTCCCAACTCCAGCCAACATCGCGAAGGACGTCAAGTGGACACAAGCCATCAATGCCGCCCTTTGCGCGCCTGGAGCACACAGCGACGCCGTGGCTCAGCAATTTTATGCCTGTTACAATGAAGCCATCGTTCCCGTATGTATTTCTTATCAATCACATCCGTTACTTGATTTGTTCACTCGGTTAAACACCATTCGGTAACGAATATTTTGAATATTTTTGCAGGGTGCCACATCATTCAAAGCTTGTCAAACCCAAGTTTATGGTGTCCAAATGGACACTCAAGCAAATGTTGACACCGTTTGCAGCGGAGGTCCCGACAAATTTCCAAGGGTTCGATATTATCAGAAAATTTCTAATCATACAAATCTTAAATTCAAAATTCATTAATTATTGATGATGTAATTATTACAGTACGCTGCATGCATTTTGGCCCGACTTCCATTCCAAGGTGTCTGTGCGACAACTGCGATCCACAAGTTGAACGTGAGTTTAAAAAAGAGAAAAGTTTTCTTACAACTTGGTTGACATTTTGATTTGATTTGTTGATTTTTTATTTGTAGGAATGCCAAGGCAAAGTCATGAATGTTCCAGCCCCTGCTTAATTAATCCAACATGTTCCAATTTACTCTGAAAACTATTTAGTGATCCTTTTTCAAACCTTGGTCTACTCAAAATTAATCAAATTGTACTCTTCTGCATGATTTATTCTAGTGAATAAAGTTTATGCACGATGCTATATGCATATTTGCTATACGTAACTTGTTAGTTAACTACGTATGATGAGATGCACATATGTATTCATTTAGTACTTAAGGTAACATGCAAGAAGTTGAGAATACGCATTTCCACTTATTAAAGTGTACATATGTAATCCCTGTATGCAAACTTATGTATTCAGTCATTTATGTACATAAACAACATATCCACTCGCATAATTTTATGAAAATCGAAAACAGTTTTAACTAAATGCATACAATATGTATGTATGTATTTGTAGATAAATAGAAACTCTGTTAATACATGTATCGGTATGTACAATACGTTACTCGTTAAACTATAACTACTTATATTATGACATTGGCTTTAAAAACTAACTAGGTATACTATTTAGGTGGGTGGAGAGTTCAGATATCCCACTATATGCAAATATTGCACACTGTATCGGTATGGAACAATATGCAAAAATTTCCGTGTTAAAATCACTTTTGAAAAAGTAATGACGATTTTAGTGGCGCAAGTCTAGGAATTTTCTCAATGCTGTAACAAAGGTGAAATTTTTGCTTTTGTCCTCCTTTACGGATTATGTAAACTCCACCTCTGGCGGAAACATTGTTTCGCTACGGTTCTAATCATTGTCCAAAACAGCCATCAAAAATGTCCAAAAAGCACACAATAAATGGGCCAAAATGTTGCAATTTCTTTGTTACATTTTTTTTAAAACCTAGATAGAAATATTTTATTTTCCTTGTTAAGTCGTTTTGAGCATTTATATAGTATTATTTGGAATTTTTTGCCTAAATATGTTTTCTTATGAGGAATTATGAAATTTTCCAAGTAATGCTTTATTACAATTCAAAATTCTCATAATTAATGGGAGATTGCATATCTTGGCAAATATTTGAAAAACATGGTGATGCCTAAAAAAATGTAACAAAGAAATTGCAACATTTTGGCCCATTTCCTATTTTGGACACATTGTGTGCTTTTTGGACATTTTGTCTTTTTTTGGACAATTATTATAACCGTAGCGAAACAATGTCTACGCCAGAGGTGGAAGAGTTTACATAATCCGTTAAGGACGTCAAAAGCAAAAATTTCACCTTTATTAAAGTATTAAGAAAATTCCTAGACTTGTGTCACTAAAATCGTCATTACTTTTTCAAAAGTGATTTTAACACGGAAATTTTTGCATATTGTTTCACACCGATATCGTGTGCAATATTTGCATATAGTGGGATATCTGAACACTCCACCCACCTAAATAGTATACCTAGTAAGTCATTTCAAATTATGTATATGATACCGAGTAAGTTTTCACCCATTTTTGCAAACATACATACACTTTGTCAAGTGGGGCAAACTTGTTTACAGTGCCGGACCAAATTTGGCAAATAGTGGACAGGAAATTTCCGTTTGCTCTGAAATCTAATTGCTGTAAATGTACATACATATTTACGTGTAGCGATTAAATTTTATTAACAAAGTCCAAAACACTTTTACTTTGACTAGTTAGTTGCTAATATCAAATCAATTCATAATGTGGATAAACTGCATTATCTCATCACTTATCCTCCTGTTTGCCATCGCTGATTTCAACAATGTCAGATTTGGACGACTGGCAGATTTTGACGCCGCGAGAAAAATAGCAATGAGACACAGGTTTGTACGAAATAATTTTGTCCCGTGAAATAATAAAATTTTAATGCATATCATTTTATTATTTCGCTTACAGAATACTTTATTTGAATAAAATTCTAAGGAATGAAGGAACTTACGCTGATTCAAATTGTAATGATACGGATTATTTGGAAAACAATTTTTCCTCAGATCCACTACTATCTTGCAATGAAGAGACTATGCACGTTCATCATAGTTTTGCAAATTATACGAGAATTTTTACATTTTTTAATCCGGCAAGTACATGTAAATGAAGTGAAAAAATTCGATTATTCGTGATGCAAATCTATTTATACTAACCCTTTCCTAGATTCGTTGTAAAAATTCAGTAAAATATTTTCATATTAAAAGCGTTCAATGCCTCGTCAAAAATCAAATTTTTCTCAGATTTTGAAAATTCTCGGACAGTTACTTGAGAACTGTCTACAAAAAAAATCAAAACTTTTCAAAAATATTTTGGTTGCAAAGGAAATATCTGGAACTTAGCAGTTAAATAAATACTATTATAACAATTTTCTGTAAATTTTAGTGTCTTGTAAAACATTTTTGTTGAAATTCTAGCATATTTACTTCACTGTAAATTCCCAGTCATTATGCATACACAATTAGATTGGGTGTTATGGATCGCATCTAAATACTTCATAAACTAATTCTTTAAAAAAAGCTTGCTTAAAAGGAGAAAACAAGCTGTTATCATCGTGTACTAGAATAATGTGCTACATCAATTTTCATCTCTTGATTTATAATTTTCGGTAAACAAAACAGCAAAGTATGTGCGTTTGGAACCAATTGCCTCGCCGTGGGCCGTGATTAATTGAATACAAATATGACATCTTACGTAAATATTAAAATGTTGTTATAATTAAACTTTGTTAATTTGTGATTTTGCAATCTTTGAATATATTTCTAGAATAGGTCTAGATTTTAAAAATTCATGTTCTGCTATTGTATGTAATATTGTATATTGGAAATTAACTCATGCTTGGTAAATATGATCAGAAATCGATTATGGATAACAAAATTAACCAAAAAATTTTACGACGCAATTTCCGCATGTGTGAAATTCTCTGAACACTAATAAAGTTTAAAATTATTTTAATTCACAAAGCAGCCCACGGCGAGGCAAATGGTCCCAAGCGCACATACTTTGCTGTTTTGTTTACCGAAAATTATAAATCAAGAGATGAAAATTGATTTAGCACATTATTATAATACACGATGATAACAGCTTGTTTTCTCCTTTTAAGCAAGCCTCACCTAAGATTTTTTTAAGAATTAGTTTATTTTTTGTTTTTAAGTCTCTTTAAGTTCTCACCAATTATAGCTACCAAATTAAATCCCCATAAGCCCGGATGCGCTTCATACCAAATTAATCCCCCAGTGGGTGTGGATGCGTGGCATACCAAATTAATTAAATTCTTCCGTCGCTTAATTCTTAATTTCTTGACTATGAGTTCATGAACTCATAGTCAAGAAATGCGATGTATGTATATACACGCTGTTAGAAATCTCTATTAGAATTCCAAGTTACTTCTTATCATTAGTTTCAAAATTATGCGAGTAAGAATTTACTACCGATATATTAAAGCTTTAATATCGACCTGGAATTAAATTAATTAGCACTTAAAATTTCCTAAATTTCCGAAGCTTTCTGAAGCTTTTTCGTTCCAATAAAATAATCAGAGAGAGAACTTATTACAGCACAGTATTACTTATCAATACCACTTTGGTAGTCATTTCTGAATACTGCGTGGTACTATTGTAATACTGGATTTCTAAAAGTGCATACATGTACATTTAGGTTTACATACAGATCTTACATGTTTCTATTGCGCTTGTTGTTAATAGAAACTAGAATATTATAAGTAATGTAAAACCATTATAATTAACGTATGTACTGTAACTGGTTGCAGGTGCCACCAAGAAAAGTCTCGCATTTCTTATCCGATTTCGTTCAGGATTGTTTTAAATGACGCGTAATAGATTTCCGCAAATTTAATATCGGGCTTGACACTACCATTGCATGGCAAAAGTGAATTTGCCAGTCGTTTGAAAGTTTAAAATCGATTTTAAATGCGTTAAAATAAGATTGTCATGTCCCTCTTATTGACGGGCATCATCTATGCAGCAATATCTACACGATTGCCTTTTACACCATTTTGATACGATTAGCCGTTTCGCCGTAATCTTTGGCAGAATATTTGGAGGGGGGGTCTGTTTGCATACTAAGGCTTCGCCGTAACCATGCATTTTTTCATGCGGTCATGGTTACTATGCCTCACCTAAGAAAAATTAACTTGAATAGTTCTACCAAAGTTAAACAATTTTCATATTTCGTGAACCTTACATACAAATACATCGAAATATCTTACAGTTTACATACATATACCTTTCATGTAGTAAATAAATACACACAGTTATCAATATGTGATTACTTGACTTCCATATATTTTCTTAGGGTTAGATCCAAAAGTAAAGAAACATTTGAAAAATGCCTGTAAAATCCGGAAAACTTAATTAATTCCAATGACACTTTTAAGGGTTAAGAACAAGGTCCTTATCGTTCAATTTTTTGCTTCATATGGTCCATAGACCCCCATCCTTCTTATCTGGCGAATTATTTGCCTCGCAATCCCCAGAAGTGCTTTGCCACTCTTTCTCGCTACCACTTTTGAGGTGTGTGTCAAAATGTGACGGAATCTTACCAAGTTTGTGGGTGGTTTTGTTCGACCACTATATTATCTCTTGCATAATGCCAAAAATCGTTCAATTGATCTTGCCTGAGGGACGTAGGAAGCATATTCCCTTTTTGCAACAAAATCGATTTTTTTCGACCTCAGGTAGTCCAGAACAACTTTTGAATAATGAAATATTCCTGTGTCCGGTCAGAAAAGTACATTACGATTATTGATAAAGGGTATCAAGATCTTCTTTACACAATCGTTCAAATATCTCTCCGAGGTCATGGTGGCTGTGGTCACGAACGGCTTTGAGACGTCCCCTAATGAGTCCAATGCTTGCGCGATTATGTGCTTTGTGGGGAATTTTGACTTCGGCGTGTATTTGAAGGAATCTTTAAACGTTTTCTTATTAGTACATGAGTAGTAATTCCTCCCAGGGACTTCATCTGGATCAATCGAGCACTTGGTCTCATCATCCATGACCAGAAACACGGGCATGTTTTGCTTGACTCGTTTTTCAGCAATCTGCCGAGAGTTGGGCTTTGCTCTTTTTTGCTGACCTTGGTTGTACTTTGGTGCAGGTGTCGCCTTATAGGATTTGACCCCCAACTTTGTAGGTTTAATGTCATGTAAACTTAATTTTGATATTTTCAATTTGTAGCCCAAATTACCATCTGATA